TTGAGGGTTCAAGAAACAGCAGGCCTAGGTTCATGCATCTGTACCGGAGCTTCCTGAAGTGATCTTCTTTGTTTGTTGGTCTGAGTATTGCGGGAGTTTTTGACCCGACACTTGGAGTGTCCTACGCAACAACGTTTATGGATTTGAAAGTTGAACTTGACCTTTATTTGTTTTGTGTTTTTTTCAGGGATTTATGCAGGGTGGTTTTGTGGCTTCTGTGACGTTTCAGGGAAAGATTTTTCACATGTTTCCAGCTTCGAGTAATTGCTTCCAGTTATCTATTGATAATTGATAATATATATATATATATATATATTCATATTTTAACATAATATATAATGATATATATATATATATATATATTTATATTTATAATGATATATATATATAATGATATATATATATATATATGTGTGTAGAATGATATATTTATATATATGTGTACAATGATATGTATATATATATATTGGTATATATATATATAAATCATTGATTTATAGATATAATGATATATATATAATGTTATATATATACATATATATATATATATACAAATATACATGTATATATATACGTATGTATATATATACATATATACATATACATATATATATATATATACGCATATATACATTATGAACAATAATTAGTGTATAATGATTCTCAACATTATTCAACTATATTTCCCAGATTGTTCATTATTCTTCCAACGTTTTGCCATGACTTTGCCGTGACTTTCCCATGACTTTTCCTCCGGCTACGAGGTGCACCTTGTCCTTGGTGCCTCTGGTGCTTCCTGAGGCGCAGTTGTACACGGTGTGTGGCTGGGATCTCCGGGCATGAAATGGGAAAAACCTTCCACAAACCAACCATATATCTACATGTCTATATAATTATATATATACTGTATACAGAGAGAGAGAGAGAGACTCTGAGAGAGATATACATGTGTGTATATGTGAATATTGATCTGATGGTTTTTTCTCAAGTCTTGTGTCTCTAGTTTCTTTGTGTATGATTGCATATTATTGTCATGAGAATAAGATGAGGATGCTCCGGGTGAGGATGCTAAGGAGAAGGACAGTGAGGATGATGATGGTGATGGATTGAAAGTTCAAATGTTTTTGCCCAATGGGCGTTGATAACCATTATATTTGAGGAATAGATAATCATCCAGAAAAGCGCCATGCAAAGAAAACAACGCGATGTTGTGCCGTACTGCGGCCGCAGAAAACTGGACAAAATGTGTGGTGTCAACATCTTTGCTGGTACATGGATAAAAGTTTGCATTTCTCGTTGGAAAAGGGGATTTAAATGGATGTTGAAGCGTTCAACGGACCAAATGTTTCAGCTACCATCGGGACAACGACTTGTGATGATTGCCATGATGTATATACACACAATTTACATCCATTTGTTCAGTAGGCCAGACGAGCGGAGTGACGTCGGTGCAGGAGAACTTCATCCACTTCGCCATGCGCATGTCTCAAGTGGAGAGGCCACAACAATGTCTCGGGTGCAGTTGTGGTTTTCAAGAAATGGGCAGAGGACCCGTACTTTCAGGGTGGACTGGGGTTATGAATGCAACGTACAGTATCCATGGGGTTATAACCCCCACAAGTTTTTGGATGTGCGGTGGTCATAGTTATGGTGATCAAATCAGTAGACTTACATAGACTTACTGTAGCTTATCTTAGTTTACTGGGGAGTTGGGACAAACTTACAGCAGCCAGGCCTGAACATGTTGCGTTGCGCACACGCTACGAGCGGCGCAACACCATCGAAGCTGGGATCAAGGGGGTGGGATCAGCAGGGGGAGGCTGTGAGGAGTCTTGTTCACCTACTTGGATACTCATTCCAGGTACACAAACGTTGGAAAATCTGGTCAGATCCTCATGTTTCTATATGCTTATTGGGACGTCACCTGCAAATGGAGGACGTTCCGTTGCTGGCTATGTTTGTTTATCTGAGGCTAACAAGTTATAAGTTATAAGGGCACGAAAAAATGGTATTGCCGCCTTGGATGTCACAAGCCCTTGGTCTTGTTAAGTACTCGAGTACTCATGTCATGGGTGGTGATTGCAGACAATTTGAAGCCTGATGATTTGTGGAACACAGGGACCCCAAACCGTCAGAGTCATTGTCCGAATGCCGACTCCCTTCCTTGATCCGTGTTCAACCGTAATTCAGTCCAGCAGTCGCAAAAGATTGCAGAAGGAGAGCGTTCGGAGAGCATTCGATTGCGAGTGGGCTATTGGAATGCTTTACAAGTTGTAGGGGTGGCCCATCAATATCCCTTCCAACCCTCATGAGAATCCAAGGTCAATTTTGGCTGTGGTGGCTGTAGATTTCTTTGCTGCCTTTGGCTCGCAGGAGAATACCTAAAATATCCTAAAATGAATTGATGGATGCCTTCAACCCAAGTTTGAGCCAACAAGAGTTCTAAATTTGGAAGGGCAAAGATGGAAGCAATGTCAGCACCTTGATGTCATTGTTTCCTCTCTTCACCTGCAGACCGTTGTGACGCTCCCGCGGACTCTGCCAAGCGAAGATGGTCAACGCAGAGCCTTCCAACAATTCCAACGAAGAAGGGCCGCGGCCCGATTCGCCAGGACTGAAAGCACATGTAGCGAAGTATCCTTGGCTAAAACCCCTTCATCCCCTGTTCAACATAAAAGTTTCAACTGATTGCCCCAGTTGCATGGATCTTCCTGTGATTTCCCTAGACATGTTTCTACATTTCTCTCATTAGACTTTAGACATAGTAATTTTCAACCTTTTCCTATGTTTTTTTCCCCGTGATTTTCCACTGATGTTCGAACGTGCCCACGTTTCTTCTCTTTTTTCCCATGGATTTTTCCAACGTCTCCATTGATTTCCTAGATGTCCCTGAGAACCCTGTGTTTCTGCTGATATCTCCTCGAATTTCCGCACCTTTTCACAGGAGGTGCCCGCTTGCCCTTGCAGCTGGGACGCTTACCGGCCGAACGTTTAGAGCGGGTGCACCAGGCGACGCTGTGGGACCTTTGGGAGGATACCCATAGATTTCCATAGATTTCCATGATATTTGGTGGCAAGTGGAATAACTTGTTGTATTTTAGGGTCCTGGTGTGGTGGATAATTTAAGATGGAAGATTCCTGATGTGAAAAAGACGAAGTTCATCATGGCCGAACCCTGGCGGCCCAGAAATGATAGACCGTCCTAGTTTCGGAACTAGTTTAGTTTAGTCGTTAAATTAAATTGTTAACAAACTGGTTAGATGCTCATTTGATGGTGAAATCGAATCCGCATAGTTTCCCACAGGGACTACAGGGACGAGATGGGTCAAACCTGTGCAAAAGCTGATCTGTTTTGACAAGCAAAATAGTCCATTATGGTGTTGTTGAGAACCAGTATGAGTATCAAAACATAAGTTGCCAACACAATTATTACTAACCCATCGTGGGATCCTGTGGGTATATGAGTGGCGGACAAAAAATTACTTACTACTCGCAAAGGACATGGCCAAAGTGGGTAGTCCCTTATCGGTTGTGACGGTGCTCACACAAATTTGAACATCCCAAGTCTACTCCCTACTACTTTTTTCTTCTGATGTGTACTAATGACCTTTTAAGCCATTTAACATGTATAGGACTGTATAGGTAGAATCCAGGAGTATAGCAGCCTGTGGTGGATCTGTAAGCATCAAAGTTCGAGTTGCCGACCATCTTGATTGGCTTCAACTTTTCCACCCCTCGGTGGACAAGAAAGTGCGACCCGATATGAGAAGCTGAACATATTATCGGCTGTCAAGTGATCGAAAACGAGGTAATAGTATGTAATAGTATGTAATAGTATGTAATAGTATGTAATAGTATGTAATAGTATGTAATAGTATGTAATAGTATGTAATAGTATGTAATAGTATGTAATAGTATGTAATAGTATGTAATAGTATGTAATAGTATATTTAGAGGGTATGTATATATATATAATATAGATATAGATTATATATATATATATATATGAGCAACCGTAAAAACCCCGGCAATACTAAATATGTATTCGACGGACATTGGTTTATGGAAATTGATGGAAATTGTTAAAAACACGAGGTAAGCGATGGGTCCTTCCCAAATTAGCGATACCCCTTTTCAAGGTTATGTCATCATATTTCTCTAATATCCACATTAGCGATACCCAAATATCACATATTATTCATAGTTCATCTATATATATATATGCAGCAGGTTCCTGCAAGCGATACCCCCCAAGTTTACCATATATCATTATTGTACAAACGTGTGGTAAGCGATGGGACCTTCCCAAATTTGTGGATGTCCTTTCCGTGAACCTAGGGTTTTCACAATCGCTCATATATATATATATATAGATATAATTTTATAGCCAAGAGACATGGATGATAAAGAACCACCGTAGTTGAGAAAGTGACAAACCTATTCCAAATCGAAGATATTCAGAGACTAGCCAAGAGACAACTGACAAGCTGGATTTCAACCAACTACGGACATTAAAATCGGCAAATAATTGAGAGTTCAGAGATGCACGTCACTTGACAAAGGTTGCAACAATCATTGCGAGCAATCCCACTCAGCAAACAACGGACAATAGTAAACGGGAGGCCCCACCCTATTTTTTTTAAGGGGGGTGGTCTGCTTTGCAATAGTAAATCGAAAATCCCAACTCTTCCCCAAGGCTTCTGTAACGTTTTGACAAATCCAATGCAATCACAATTTAGAAAAAAACAACCACAATTAAACACACTAAGGAAGAAGGGAAAAAAATACAGCTAGAGCCAGAAAGGTTGTTTTTTATTGCAAGTGCTAATTCCAATTTTTAATTGCAAATGCAAGGACCTGCAAGGGGGTACCCTTGGTGGACCTGTTTTTTGAATTTGTTTAAAAGGATTTCAATAAAGAAAACAGTTTTTTTGAACAAGGTAAAGTTTTGGATTTGGCAAAGGTTTGCTTTGTTTTTGCTGTTGAAAAGCATACAATCACAATTAAAAACGATTCAACCACACTTGAAAACACTGAGGAAGAAGGGAAAAAAAATACAGCTAGAGCCAGAAAGGTTGTTTTTTATTGCAAGTGCTAATTCCAATTTTTAATTGCAAATGCAAGGCCCTGCAAGGGGGTACCCTTTGTGGACTGCTTTTTTTTGCATGTTTTTAAAGGATGTTAATAAAGAAAACAGTTTTTTTTGAACAAGGTAAAGTTTTGGATTTGGTCAAGGTTTGCTTTGTTTTTGCTGTTCAAAAGCATGCAATCACAATTAAAGACCATTCAACCACAAGTAAAAACACTAAGGAAGAAGGGAACAAAAATACAGCTAGAGCCAGAAAGGTTGTCTTTTATTGCAAGTGCAAATTCCAATTTTTAATTGCAAATGCAAGGACCTGCAAGGGGGTACCCCTTGGTGGACCTGTGTTTTGCAAGTTTTTTAAAAGGATTTCAATAAAGAAAACAGTTTTTTTTGAACAAGGTAAAGTTTTGGATTTGGTAAAGGTTTGCTTTTTTTTGATTTTGAAAAGCATGCAATCACAATTAAAGACCATTCAACCACACTTAAAAACACTAAGGAAGAAGGTTAAAAATACAGCTAGAGCCAGAAAGGTTGTTTTTTATTGCAAGTGCTAATTCCAATTTTGAATTGCAAATGCAAGGACCTGCAAGGGGGGGTACCCTTTGTGGACCTGTTTTTTTTGCATTTTTAAAAAAAGGAGTTTAATAAAGAAAACAGTTTTTTTAAACAAGGTAAAGTTCTGGATTTGGTCAAGGTTTGCTTTGTTTTTGCTGTTCAAAAGCATGCAATCACAATTAAAAACCATTCAACCACAAGTAAAAACACTAAGGAAGAAGGGAACAAAAATATAGCTAGAGCCAGAAAGGTTGTCTTTTATTGCAAGTGCAAATTCCAATTTTTAATCGCAAATGCAAGGCCCTGCAAGGGGGTACCCTTGCTGGACCTGTTTTTTGCAAGTTTTGTTTAAAGGATTTCAATAAAGAAAACAGTTTTTTTGAACAAGGTAAAGTTTTGGATTTGGCAAAGGTTTGCTTTGTTTTTGCTGTTGAAAAGCATACAATCACAATTAAAAACGATTCAACCACACTTGAAAACACTGAGGAAGAAGGGAAAAAAAATACAGCTAGAGCCAGAAAGGTTGTTTTTTATTGCAAGTGCTAATTCCAATTTTTAATTGCAAATGCAAGGCCCTGCAAGGGGGTACCCTTGGTGGACCTGTTTTTTGCAAGTTTTGTTTAAAGGATTTGAATAAAGAAAACAGTTTTTTTTGAACAAGGTAAAGTTTTGGATTTGGTCAAGGTTTGCTTTGTTTTTGCTGTTCAAAAGCATGCAATCACAATTAAAAACCATTCAACCACAAGTAAAAACACTAAGGAAGAAGGGAACAAAAATATAGCTAGAGCCAGAAAGGTTGTCTTTTATTGCAAGTGCAAATTCCAATTTTTAATTGCAAATGCAAGGCCCTGCAAGGGGGTACCCTTGGTGGACCTGTTTTTTGCAAGTTTTGTTTAAAGGATTTCAATAAAGAAAACAGTTGTTTTGAACAAGGTAAAGTTTTGGATTTGGCAAAGGTTTGCTTTGTTTTTGCTGTTGAAAAGCATACAATCACAATTAAAAACCATTCAACCACAAGTAAAAACACTAAGGAAGAAGGGAACAAAAATATAGCTAGAGCCAGAAAGGTTGTTTTTTATTGCAAGTGCTAATTCCAATTTTTAATTGCAAATGCAAGGCCCTGCAAGGGGGTACCCTTGGTGGACCTGTTTTTTGCAAGTTTTGTTTAAAGGATTTGAATAAAGAAAACAGTTTTTTTTGAACAAGGTAAAAATTTGGTTTTGGTAAAGGTTTGCTTTGTTTTTTCTTTTGAAAAGCATGCAATCACAATTAAGAACCATTCACTAAATATCAATTAGCCCTTTGACAATTTTGTATTGGAAAATCTGATAATTTGGGAATTTTCTGAAAATTATGTGTAGCTATTGCGAATGCAGCACAACTATTGCAGATGCTCTGGACCAAGATTGATGTCTGTAATTTAAAATCAATAAGGCCTAATTTAAAATCAATAGGGGCTGAAAAATCACATTCTGAAAATTATTTGTAGCTATTGCACGCGTTTTACTATTGTCCATCCAACATTAACGGCTAGTATGATGTGATCTTTGTACATTGTTGCCAACATTTCCAACCAGTTTTGCTTGCAGATGGCTATGAGTCAAAACCCTGGCACCCTAGGTACCCAAAAATGGCTGGTAGTGGATGACTATTCCCCAATATGATAGATATGATTGTAGGGTTTGACCCATCCCGTCAGATCATGAGCCACAAACCACTGGTTATCAAACGGCCATCTCTGAACCTGGCACCGTGTTGAGAAAGATCATCCAGGACGATCCAGGACGGGCATCAGTATATCATAATGTCATAACCTGACAGACATCATAGTGAGATATATTGAGATACTGAGAACAGATGTTTATCACTGTTTGTCTCCTTTTTCCTACTCCCCCGGTAATCTAGCATTGCGTTTTTTTTGCACAGGGAAATATGTACTCAATGCGGGCGTCAATTTCCATTGGCAGGAAGATTGCGAGAGGTAGCTTACCTGGTGCATTCCTGGAAAACCTGACGTGAACCTCCCCAATATTTGATCATATTTGGATGAGGGTTAGTAAGTGGCTTAGTTCACCTCAGTTACTTCAGTAGGGCCTCAGTAGGGGCAATGTCCAGTGATAACTGTGATTATTTGACTAGTCCAATTCCCAACTTGTTTTTTATCCCATATGAACCCATATTAACATGAGCTATTAAAAGTACCCTTGTTGATTGATTATTATAGGTACTTATACTCCTGTACTTGGGTTATGGGAATTATTGGTGTTCCATACTCGGAAAACCTATCAACTAAAAGGATCCAAATAGTATATTAATAGTTGATATTAATGAGATATTAAGAATGAACCAGTAATGAACCATTAACAGATGGAGATTAAGATTAATAGTATTTTTAATGGTTCATATGTGTCTATTAATCTCAAATTTCATTGCTGAACGCCCATTTGTTGCTGGGTAAATCTTAACCAACTGGGGTAAAGCACCAAGTAGAACCTCCGTGTCCTGCAGACAAAAACTTATGTCAGGCCATGCGGCATCTGAAAGAGGAAGGTTTCTCATCAGCAGATCCAGTGGGAGAGCGACCAAAGCCTGGATGAGGGTTGAAAGATATGGAACTCCATACTGGTAATCAATTTGAATTATCCCAATAGTTCGGCCAACTTTCCTGGTTTGGGAAATACTTAGACGTAGATACTTATCTAATCGATGATGGATTGATCTGTGGAAGACCACCTCAAAATGTCGTATGTTTGATTTGGTGATTGGAGGAATTACACCATGTAATGTGTTCAATGTTCGAATATGATATGTTTATGTATGGGTCACGGTCACTTCTGCTAGAGATGAGCACGAAACACTGTAAAGCGGTGGCCCACTCCAAAAGCGATAATGGCACAAAACACTTAATGGCCTCCCCAAAAGCGATGATAACCATGACAATAGTAATTACTGAGATGTAAAGGATTTTGAGGGAGCTCATATGATAATAATGACACTGGGAATGTGTCCAATTGGAAGTTCGTTCCTGCCAGGGCCAAGCTTTTGACGAGGCATTTCGTTCAGGGTTTGACATCAGAAAACCAGGTGCGTTTCCCCACTTTTACTCAAGTAATTTTATGGTAAATTATAAGAAAATGTGGATAAATTACCCTTTTTGTTATGCATTACGTCTTACTCATAGTTCTTATGCGTAAACAGTAAAAACCCATTTGCTAAATGAAGTTATGCAAATACGATCCTTACCCCTTCTGGCCCACTGTATTCCCCCAAGTGCAGTCCAGGGAAAGATACATTGTAGAGATTTGGCAGAGGCTAGATTGGTTGGAACCTTGATATCATCTTCACATCTTAGTGAGATTTAGTGAGATTCATTCCCATTCTCGTCCCATATGACTTTTCGTCATTCATATATGACTCCTAGTTGCTTCCTTGGGATTCATTCTTATAACCCATTAGTTGGATTCAGTCGGTCTACGCCGATTAGGAATATGTTGGATTGTTTCATATCTATTTGTTGCCAATATGTCTTCATACTCTGGCCCAAGATAACTCAAGTAGGAAGTTCGAAGTGTGCCTTGGCAATATTTGGATTTAATTAAGTGGTTTGGCCAATAAGTAGTACAATGAATCCAGAATTGTTAAGTTATGTCAGAATGGAGAGCCAATGGGTCCCAACGAAAGCTGGAAAGAACCGGTGGGCACAATCTTAGCCTGTAGGAAACCTCTTAAAGTCCAGCTATTTGGAAAAAAAACTGTCTGTCAAACAGAATACATGTTTTTTGATAGAGTCGAGTTATCCGGCGTTTAGTGTTCAACTGAAAAAAACTTGTGTTTGTTGCCAGATGCTGTATATATATATATATATAATTATATATATAACATATATTTATAAATGTTGATATTTATATTTAGGATTAAAACGTATATACAGTACATGTGTTCCATATCATCCCATAATAAAGCCATATTAATATATATATATTCTTCGTTTTTGGAAGATCATTCCTCCCAACGCGTCAGGCTTGGAGGAGCTGCCAGACATCGACGCCTTGGCCAAGAGCGTCAAAGCCAGCCACGCTGCCGGCAACGCCAAGCTGCCGCAGGAGCACCTGACCACGGTCGCCTGGATGGGGTTGGGGGTTACCGGATTGGGTAGCGTCTGCAAGTGAAAAAGTTTGGGAAAGTTTGTGGTACCTCATCTAGATGTTTTTCAGATGTTTTGATGTGCTTTTCAGATGTTTGATATGCTCTTGAGATGTTTTATTTTCTTATTTAAGGGCTGCCGCCCTGCCGCCGACCCCAGGAACTTGCTCTGCCTGTTTGCCACATCTTGCGGCCAACAAACCCGCCAATCACAACAGCAAAAAAAAAACTAATTTCGTGCCCAAAACGTAGCAAAGGACCCCAAAAAAAGGGCAAAACGTTGCAAAGGAACCCCAAAAAAGGGCCTAACGTCCCTTCTGAAACCCGACTAAAACTGAGACTTTTCAGCTTGTTACGCATGTTTGCCACATCTTGCGGCCAACAAACCCGCCAATAACAAAGGGCATGGCTTTGTGGCACATGCGCGACAGCAAAACACCACCTATTTTCGTGCCCAAAACGTAGCAAAGGAACCCTGAGGAAACGGGCCTAACGTCACTTCTGAAACCCGACTAAAACTGAGACTTTTCAGCTTGTTACGCATGTTTGCCACATCTTGCGGCCAACAAACCCGCCAATAACAAAGGGCATGGCTTTGTGGCACATGCGCGACAGCAAACCACCACCTATTTTCGTGCCCAAAACTTAGCGAAGGAACCCTGAAAAACGGTCCTAACGTCACTTCTGAAACCCGACTAAAACTGAGACTTGTCAGCTTGTTACGCATGTTTGCCACATCTTGCGGCCAACAAACCCGCCAATCACAAAGGGCATGGCTTTGTGGCACATGCGCAACAGCAAAAAAAAACTAATTTCGTGCCCAAAACGTAGCAAAGGAGCCCAAAAAAGGGCCTGCCAAGCACAAGCTGCATGGCTTAGTGATGTATCCGCAACGGCAAAACACCACCTATGTAGAGCTCTTATTCCCTTACGCGCTCCCCCTTGTGCAGCCGGGGTCGGCGGATATGTGCCTGCGAATAGCTGGCTAGAGGAACGATTTTTTTGATATGTTTTGATATGCTGTTCAGATGTTTTAATATGAGTTTAAGATGTTTTGATATGCCTTTGAGATGTTTTGATATGTTTTTCAGATGTTTGATATGCTCTTGATGTTTTAATGTGTGAGACGTTTTTATATGCTTTTCAGATGTTTTAATATGTTTTTGAGATGTTTTGATATGCTTTTGGGTGTTTTTTTTTGTGCTTTTGAGATGTTTTGATATGCCTTTGATTGGTTTTTATTTGCTTTCCAGATGTGTTGATATGCTTTCGAAATGTTTTGATGGGTTCCAAACTATATGATCTATATGATTAATTGAAATGAGTGCTTATTTCGCATTGTAAAAACATGACAGCCAACAAACGGTTTAAAATGTGTATGAATGTGTTTCGAAAAGTGCCTCTTTGGAAGAATTAACACAGCAAAGTCCCAAGTTGTTCGATGAAAATCTTTGGAAAAGGCTCAAATAGTTGGATATTATACATGGAGCATTCACACATCTGCTGATACAGCAGATTCCTGAATTTCAAGTGGAAAGAGGCATTTCATGAGTCACTAATTCTACAGAAGTATAGGGGTGCCTATCCTGCACAGCTTCTGCCGCAAAAGATCGGCCATAAAAACTTGCGCGAAGTTGGTGTGGGTGTGTAGGCCCAAAATGATCAGCATGCATCATGAATTCAAATGAATTACATCTGTGTTGCAAATCAAGATGATCAGCATCCTCGTCATCTGTCATTCTCTCTATCGTCCCCTATTGCCATTATAGTCAGTAGACCCAATCACCGAGTACTACATGGTACTGCGAAAATCCTGCTGTCTTCTATTTATCCCAGTACCCAAAACACCTAAGATATTGGGGTTTCTTAAAATGGGGGATCCCCAAGTCACCCTAGATATTTTGATGAAAATTTTGGATGATTTGGGGTACCCCATGACTTTGGAAACCTCCCGAGGAATACATGGGCATGTCGTTATGGGCCTGGACCCCTCAGCGCTGGTTCAGCAGCATCCATGGGATGTCTGACCCTGCCGGGACCAAGAGCGACGAGCTGCAACATGCGGAAGGAGCGGTTGGAATATGTTGCAGCTATGGTTGGACCATGTTGGAGGATGAGGATGGAATTTCTGTGGCTTGTTCTATGGTTTTCTATGCTTTTCTCGAAATTTGGAAGGCCAAACTCCGCTGAAAACCTTAGTTTCTCAATGAAGCTGCGGCTTCTAGTATGCCTTGTTTTTGAGACGATTATATACTTTGATTGTTGTTATTTAGTCTTGGTTGAAATTGTGTCAGGATGATTATGTATCCGATTTTTGGACATGTTTGATTGGATAATATGACCTCCCATTTTTGAGGAAGTTGGTGGTAAAAGCCTGGGAATACATGGAAAAAACGAGTTGGTTCTTGGCGTGGACACTTCCGAAGTACTAGAACGCTTGAATGGGGTGAGTTTGTTGTGTTCAGACACTTTTGGAAGTGTGTTCAAAGCAACTTCTACCTTCACCGCTGAGCCCTTAAGTAATTCTGCTGTGGCTTCTCTGAGAATTATGCCCATGGCCTTTTGATGGCCGAAAAAATGAAAGACCAAGAAAATAGGGTTTGCAGCTTAGTTTCTTTCTTCCCATGGACCCTAGTTTGTTTCAAGCCATTTCAAGCCCGTTTTCTTAAACCCAAAAAACCCTGAGGTGGAAACAGAGTGTTCAATGGTTTTTCCGTGCTGTGGACCAACCCCACAATTCCCAGAGATTCTGCCACAGCAGGAGATCAGCTTCCCCCAGTGCCGGAGACGACGGAGGCCTTGCTGAACAAACGAGACTTGGTGGAAACAACGCGGGTGAAGCGCGCGGCTCCAGCGTGGGCCAGGCATCTGTCAAAGTCTTTTGACCAGACAATCGGCTGATTGCCCTTTCCCTGTAGCTGCTATAGCCATTGTGGCCCCCAATCCATGAATGTGTTTTGGTGTTTCTTCTTTGAATTTGTACTGATATGATAATCCTCTATGTGTTTGTACAATATTTGTGTCATACAGGTTCCCACAAAGTGACCCATCAGGGTCCTAGGTTTGACTGCTGTGTTAGCTGCCTCCTTGGGGAACTTGTTACAGACCTCGGGGCCAGTGAAACGTTAGTTGTGGTAGAGGGTTTGACTAGTGATCCGTTCATCTAGGGAAATTGCTACATGAGGCGTTTCAAACCATCAAAGTTTTGGGATGGCAATCCCGGAAGTTATGGCATGGTTTGCTATCGCGGCTATCACTCCGAATCCACCAGGATCGTTACAATCAGAACATTTCAAGCAATGGTGCCACGGAAAGCACTGGAGGATGGGATAACTGGATACCTTGGCCAACAACGACACAAAAAGAGTAGTTGTTTCTGTTCCATAGTGTGCGATGTTCTCCCCTTTTTTGGTTCCACCAGGAAAAACATACTCGTATGTAATCATATATCAATATAACCTAATATAACAAAGAATTGGGGTAGTGTATCATACATCAATATATCCTTAGCTATCAACTTCACCAAATTGTGTGTATCGTTATGATCTGAAATGACCTCACCCAAAGTGAAGTGTCCGATTCTTTGCAGAAACATGCCAAACACAACAGCTCCATTTTCTGTTTATGAAAGATGATCCAATTTGGCTGGCCAGAGGATGATTCATTGACCAAAACCCTTCAAAAGATATAGTTGGAAATCAACCCCACAGAATGAGAACCCATGAAGATCATGAAGCGAAGCTATGCGCTATGCAGATGCTTTCAGATTCCAGACCTCAAAGATAGGAAGATTAGGAAGGTGGTGCTCATTTGGCTGACTTGTGAACGATAAGTTGGATCACATTCCTTGGCAGAGTGGAATTTTGGCTCCAACATCCGCTTCGAAGCCATGGGTCGGGGGCTATAGAAGTTTGAGCAAGGGCAATATCCAAACAGATGTTCCATCCAATTCTAGTTGTTGGATGTTGGTTTCACATCGTTCCATCCCCACTTGGGTATGACTAACTCCATCGCCACTTGGCTAAAAGAATGTTTGGGATGGGCTAAGCTACCAACGTTCTCAGTGAGGTTTCTGAGTCAAAGAGGTGCCTCAACAGGCGATCATTGGCCAATAGATTCCCATGCCGACAATCATCGCCCCGTTCTATCCCTACCTGGCCTACCTGGTTTCGATCCCAAGCGGGATGATGATCCCAAACGCCCTCGGATTGTTGGGATTGGAAGAACCAACGTTTGTATCCAAGTTGAAGGGGGCAATGATTCCATGGAATTTTCACATCGACGCGGCTGGTTTCTACCTGTTTCTACCATGTTCTGGCCTGGGATGATCGAAAAAGTTTCACAATTGTGGTTTTCCCAGTTGGAAAAAACATCTACCATATGTATGTATATAATTATATATATAATATTATTTAATTATACACAATACATAATTCTATACATATATAATTCTATACGTATATATATATATTATATTATATTATATTATATTATGAAATTATTTATATATATATATATACATCCAAATCATTCAAAGCAGCGGTTGGCCGGGCCGAGGTGTGAGTTGATGAAGGTGGCGGAAGCCGAGATCCGATCCATGGCGACCATGGATAGCTCAGTGCTGACCAAAGGTGGGGCCTTCAGCCGGGCTTTGTCCATGAAATCTCTGGGGTAAACCATGGTAAACCTACAAAAAGATGTGGAAAAAACATGGAAAAAACTATGGTTTTGCAAAAAGATGTGGAAAAAACATGAAAAACCTAGATTGTTTCTCTAAGAAGAGAATCTACAAATGGTGGCTTTTCCGCATCTATGTAAAAGTTTACAGGAAGGTAAGCATGAAAAAGATGAGAAGTTCCTCAGCCAGACAGCTGATCATGCGAAATCCCTGTACTGTAAATAGAGGTTTTGTTTACTTGGAAATCATGGAACTATGGCTGGTGGATTTCCAGCCACGTTTCATTCCCAGAGGATATATGTTTATCTCACAAAATTGAAACTCGATGTGTCGGAACATGGGGTTTGTTCCAACAAATCATGGGGATCGTCAAGAACATATATGAGCATGTCTTTATGCGGTATTTGGTGCTGGGACAAAAAAAAGTCAACCCGAAAGCCCAATGGTTCATCATTATCTGGTTTTTCTGTTGAAAATTGCCATACATGGGATACAGATACTCCATTTCACCATGAAATTACTGCCGTTTTTTCCTGAGATCCCTGGGATTGATTGTCCAGGCTGATCCCCAGACAAGTTTCAATGAGCTGAACCAAGCTGAACCCATGATCGGATCCTCGATCCAGGGCAATCCCCCAGATGTGCTGCTAAAATTGTGTAAAAACCATCGATTTCTACTACGGTTTCCTACGCATTTTTTTCCATAGATCGGCTGGGCTCGTGCGACTCCAGGCGATGGAGCCGCGGTGTGGTTTGATCCAACTCCATCCATTGAAGGACTGTCCCTTCACAGAACTTCTGGCAAATATTGAAGCCAACCATCCGAGTTACCTCTTGTGGGGAGAAAAACCTCGTTTTTTGTATATAGAATTATAGAATTATATAAACCAATCAATTGATTCACTGATTCACTGATTCACTGATTTGGCGGACCTTTGCTTGAGACAGGTGTTGACTCCCGCAGTGCGCACCAGGAAAAGGGGTGCTTCGCAGACATGTCGCGCATCGTGACTGTCACTGGGTGAAAGTAAGGCAGAATCCACAGACCCACCATCTCAGGATACTAAGAATTGGCCGGTCATGTGGAGGGGTTGTTTGAGAGAAGGAGCCCCAATATCCTATGGTTTATCAGATTGATCATCATTTTCCCCATTAATTAAGCTTGCCATGTGCTGGTTTCCTTCTTTTTTATACATAATTGTGTTATATGTTCCGTAACATCCCACCAATTTTTTGTTGGCTCACTTATATAAACCTAACATGTTTGAAAACATCATAGATATTCTCTGGTAACATAGCCACGGAAAATTACCCCTGTGTAGATGATTTGCCATTATTTGGCAATTTTCCATGTGTAAGTGAGACTCCCATAGGGTAGGTATATTCAACCAGTGGTTAACTGGCGGCATACTGGCAAGGTTGGGTTGGAGCACCGCAGATGGCCAGCAGGCGGGAGAATGATGACTTTCCACACTTCTCAACCCCGGTTGATAGGCTATTCAGCAACATAATCATGAGATATCATGATGATATTGGGGTTCACCAACAAATATAGGGATATTCAGCAACAAATACGTTTTCTTTTGCACATGATGCTGAGGGATACTGAGGGTATACTGTATATATTTACTATTATACTATTCAATTGGTTTACTATGGGAATTACCATATTCCAACATCATGGGAATCACCTTAATGGAAGCCACACCATTTGCTTCCCCTGAAAAACAATGGGTTTTGAATGGTTTTGATGGGTTTTGCATATACTTTTTTCGGAAATCAAACGTGGTTTGCTAAAAAAAACACCCATTTAGAGATTCATTTAGTTCGATGATTTTCCGAGCTATAAGCTATATTTATAAGGGCTTTCCGATTGCCATGTTTGATGACCTGAGACCTGAGAGCATGTAAGTTTAGCCATGCGACTTGACCAAGATCGGTGGAGCTCCTGCTGTCTCAGTGCTAAACAGCTTGGCCACGATGTCAGCAGCACCTTCCGAACAAACTAAATGTCCTTTTGCATTAATTCAAAACCAAGTCGTTAGCAGATATCTGAGCCGTTCTCGATCATTCCTAGGTTATGTCCCAAACTTTCGAGTTGCGCCGGTAAGTTGGTAACAATTCATTTGAGGAAACATTAAATCCCAAGATGTGGAACACGATACGTGCAGGGATCCAATGTTGTTTGTTTCCCAATACTTTGGGTAACCCGAAAAAAATAAGTGACACAAATGTTTGCTCTCAAGGTGCAACATAGAATGCATGAATCGTTTGAAACATGATAACATGATAAATTTCCGGTGACTATGATGATCCCCAACATTGACAAAGAACGGAAACATCGCTTCCCCCCCACGCGCTGATCTAGGTGGAGTTCCGGAAATTGCCATTGTTGGGTGTGTAAGTTTTCCATGGTGTGATCATAGAGATATCAGCTGGCTATTTGCCAGCTAAACTTGGGTATAACCACCACCAAACAAATTTGGGATATCCACCTACCAAACTTGGAGATTAACCGTCGATTAACCGCCAAATGTAGGAATTCCCTTGCCAGAAATCAGGAGATTTCACCAGAAATAAATATCCAGGAATCATGATCTCACCCGCACCACGATTGTTTCACCCAAGAGTCCGGCTTTGACTTACAATAACTGAGGTCCCAGAATTGGTTCAAGGGATCTACAGAAAATCAGCAACAGTTGAGGTTAAGAACTAGGCTTTCCTGTAGAACCCAGGCGAGGCTGTGTGTCAGAGTCCCGACCTGCGTTGCTTGGCCGGCCGAAGCAATGGTTACAACCATTTGATGGTGATTTGAACGAGGAAAAACATGGAAGACAACAAACACCACCATTTGTCATGTATATAAATCATATAAAATCATATAAATATTCCAAATCACCATGTTTGATTCCCAAACCATTATTGGAAAGAATGATGATTTGAAGATATCTAAATCAATCCGCTGAAATGGTTGTGGGTTTGTCCAACAAAATATGTGGATAGCTTCGGTAATATGCAACGGGCTACTACATGATTTGAGGTTGTCAAAAAAATGGTGGACATAATGACAAGTTTAAGAGGGGAAAATGATGAAACATACGAGTTTGGGGGTACCCTACATTTGGAAAGCCGAATGCTTGAACCGAGAAAGACTGAGCTCTCAAGCAGAGAAGACTAACCCGAAAGAAAGAGTTTGCCCTTCAGACAATTGTTTTTTCTCTCGGAAAAACTATATAAAGTGATGATCCCTGCACTTCAAAACGATTTGTTTCATATGGGTGCATGCTGCAAAGACATCGGGTGATGTTTGGGCCACAGTAGGTCGTAGTGCTAGTTACCATTTAGCCAACCGCAGGGGTTATCACAGTAGTGGTACTATACTCAATTTTCAGACATAACCATGTAGATATGGCTGTGTGACATGGTTGAAGTGTGGAAAGGATTTGAAAGGTGTGCTACTGGCTCATACACTGGCAAATGATGGGACAGCCCGATTTTTGGAGCCTCCTGGCCAGCTGGGCAAATGCCAATGGCGTAATCCACATCTACATTTTTTGAAATAGTATACAATACAATGAATATATACAATGAATATATTGTAAATCTATGTAAATCTGTAATCTACATCATATATCATATATTGATAATTCTTTATATATATATACATATACATATATATATATACAGTACTATATATATAACAAATTGCATCCCTATGTTTGCTGTGTGTTTGTCCACCTTTTTTCCACAGTGACTTAGGAAGGCCAATTCAGCAGCAGCAATACTCTCTGTTCACTTGGTGTTTGGGCAGCAGCTTCAGGGATTCGAAACCAACAGCAGTGGGGAGCCAATTCTTCTGGGGAGAAGCTATACATGCGAAACTCCCAGCAATCGACGACCTAGCAGTCATAGTTTCTATTGGTTTCTATTGGTTTTCTGTGTTCAAATATGGTCTTTGTAAGATCTGCAAGGGATGGAGGTGATATGTGGCTGTGATTTGCCCATCCGTGGCCATATGAAATTGCTTCCAGATTGTGTGCCAAGGGCAGTGTCCGCTCCGGGTTTTTTGACCCGCAGCTGAGAGAAACGACAGAAGGGCTGGCCATTGCATATTGGTTTTATGATATTTATGTTCGAACATTCGTTTGGAACCACAGTTGCGGGTGGTGATCATCGACCCTGTGAAATGCGGGTCCGGGTCTCCAATATCGTGGCCACCAAAAGGGCACCCACATCCAAACCTTTGCGTCCCCAGCCCTGGAGCCCTGAGGATGATGGCCTTATGGCACTGGACGCTTGGTCTCACATCATGGGTCTCTTGGACTGCGAGCTTTCTCCTACTTGGAGGTTGCACCACCAGAAGGTCACCGAATCCCCCAATTCCGGTAGAGATCACACCCATAGAAGTACCCAGTATATGTTTGTCACGCTTGCACCACCAGGTGCTAGTAAAGTCCAGTACAGCCTCAACGATTCTCAAGCGGTTGGTGGTTTGAAACGTCGGGATCGAATGTTCAGATGCGTAGCTCAGCCACCAACCACATCCAGCCAGCTCTTGTGAGTAGAACATTGTAATATGTTGATGTATCCCTATGATTTGCCTATGAGCAGCAGGTTTGCACCATGATATCCTTTGAAACTACCAGCCAGTTTGGAAATCCGCACAATTTGGTGGCGATGCATGATCATGTAGCCGGAGCAATATTGCTGTGATTGAGACTTATCTAAGTGGGAAATACTCCCTCAAAAGTTGGGCTCCAACCAGTAAACTGGAGATTACATCCAGGAATCTGATCGGTAAAAATGCGCGCAGACACCTCATTTCGCCCCACATCACCTTGATCTTCTTTTGGGTTTGAGAATCAGGGTTTTAGAGTTTTGGTGTCTAGGCTTTAGGGTTTTCCCATGATCTTTTCCATGGTCTTGAGGGTTTACAGTATAACGGCTGCGACAGACAGACCCAAACCCAGACACAAACCCAGACACAAACCTAGACACAAACCCAGACACAAACCCAGACACAAACCCAGACACAAACCCAGACACAAACCTAGACACAAACCCAGACACAAACCCAGACGCAAACCTAGACACAAACCCGACACAAACCCAGACACAAACCCAGACACAAACCCAGACACAAACCCAGACACAAACCTAGACACAAACCCAGACACAAACCCAGACACAAACCCGACACAAACCCAGACAGAGACACAGACAGAGACAGAGACACAGACAGAGACACAGACTGAGACACAGACAGAGACACAGGCAGAGACACAGACAGAGATACAGACAGAGACAGAGACACAGACAGAGGCAGAGACAGACACACAGACAGGAGACACAGACAGAGACAGAGACAGAGAGACAGGCAGTCAGACAGACGGACAGACAGACTTTTGCAATGACGCGAAGGTTCCTTACCTGATTTTTTCAGGAGCGCCAGAATGACCAACTACCTATATACCGTGTTTGATTTCAAGCGTTGTGGTGGGCATTGTTTCTGGTGGATTTGGCTTGCAGCCATCCCCACCCAATTCCTCCCTAGGCGAGCACTATCTGGATACTTCCGGTCGACCCGCCGAAAAGGATGGGATGATGGGTGCTGAGGTTTGATTGAAGCCAGTACATGCCAATGTAGACACGGTTTGGTGTTTTCAAATGTACTGTATATTATACAGTATAATAATTATATATATATATACATGATTCTGATCGATATTTTGCACGTTCGATATTTTTGCCACCTGGCGTTGAAGAGCCGAATGGACTCTAAGAGTTTGGGGATGGGTTGAACTCCTAGTCAATGCTGTACATCATGTGTGTGATACATATATTCTGTAATGATACATGTATACCTAGGTGTCCTGAGAGACATTTTTGTTAGGATTATCCCCGTTGTTGGTTCAACTTTGCATATTTGGTGTGAATCATTGTTGTTTCGGCGCTTCGGCATGGTGTTTCTTTCCTCAAATTCTACCCGCATGGTCTGGTTTCGGGTGAGACAGACTGCCAGGGAAATATGTATCACTGACATGCAGACAGGTACATGTATGTTCGTTAATGTTAATTATAAAATTATATAATTACATATATATATATAACATGATATAACTATATTTTCTCCAACTATGTTTGATGCAATGTACGCACATGCATTTGCCTACATATGAGTGAAGAGGTGATTTGTAGTGTATCTCCGGTGATGATATCATATAGCATCTGCAACATATTCTTTATCATGAAATCCAAAAGCAGGTCAAGAGTTCCACACCAGCCATAGCACTCGGATATCACCAGTTGATCAAATACCGGACTACCACGCGTTTGTCTTGCAAACCTTGAAATGTCGATGTTTTGGGGCTTACTCCAATATGGATCAACCATTTTCATCCATTTTCGGCTTGGATTGATCCCCTCTTTGTGATCCACGGCAACAGCGGCAGGAGTTCTATGGCTGCAGCGATCCACTCTTCACCCAAAGCTTCAAGGGTCGCTACATGCCCCGCGCAGTGCTTGCAGGCGGAGCCAGGAAACCTATGGTATCCCCTGGTATCCCATGGTCGTTTGGGTTTTGCTCATCATTTCGGAGCTGCAGAACATGCTTGGCACTCGGTGGCTAAGCCAAGTGAAGGTGCCCAGTCACTCCTTGCCTCCACGAGCCCGGCAGGTGAACAGAGTGCCATGGACTCTGTTGGGCAAGCAGCACCACAGCTGAAACAACGTAGGGTGGGTTCGACTGTCAAAAGCAATGGGAGATGATGGGAGATGAGTGGAGACTCAATTGATTCGGGGTGCCAGTGCTTGATTTTACGTTGATCTTCATTGATGTTTGTTGTGGTTGTTTTGCTTGGTGGATAGATTGTGGATAGTAAGTATATAGTTGCAGAATTGTTTGCTTTAAACTCTCAAGGGAGGCGTTAATAATGGATGTTCATCCAGATTTAAGACCCAGGGACAGAGTTGGGAATGAAATGTCCTGGTCATTTCATTCTCAAGAGCAGGGATACTGATTGTTGGAATACTCACTGATTGCGGTAAGCTGCAGGGAGGGACAACCTTCAGGAACCCTCAGAAACATTCTGAAAACTTCACAATCAAAGCCTTAAGACGTAAAAATAAGATAAAATAAGTTTCAAACCTACCAGGAATTGCGACACACTCATCCACACAAATGCCGTCTATTTGCATCTCTTTTTGTTCAAGTTTTCCCCAACGTTCAAACTATTGTACTTCAAAAACCTGCCAAATGCATCCAAATGCATCCAAACAACTTCCAAAAGACATGAAAACCCTTCAAACCACTTCAAAATTGTAAGGAGAACTAAAAACAAACAACGTCAGCAGCTCCCGGTTTCCAGATGCGGAAATATGTCCTCTCTTCCCAGTTTGCTACTGGAAGAAAAATGAAGGAAAATTTGTCTGGGCAAATATTGCAAAGAGTGCCCCAGCTTATCGGCACCGTGTCCTCAAAGAGGATCATCGTAGTGACCCAGTTTCATGCGACTGACAAAAGGAGGATAGGACAACGAGAAGAATGTGTGTAGATTCAAAAACAAGAGGGTTTCAAGCAGTCGTAACGCAGCCCACAAAAGGATGAACCACAGTCATGGTTAAAATAAATATGAAACTTGTAAGCATCACAATTGTGTGGATGTACAATATGCATTGTGTCTATATATCATATATAACTACATGTATAGTATATATATATATATGTCATACACATTTATATATGAAGATACATATGGATGTATAAGGACTGAAATCATACACCAGCTTCTGCCCAAGGCGTTGTTTGACCCGAATTCCATTGTTGGTGTGTCAACAGGGCCGCTTGTTGGCATTGGTCAGGCGTTTGAGGTGATGTTTTTCTCGCAAAAAAATGAATGAACAGCAAGCATGGTCAATTGTGGTCAATCACGGTGATTATGGACAATTGTGGACAATTATGCACACATAATGCACAATTATGGACAGTTATGGAGAATAATGGTGATCATCAGCATCGTGGGTTTGGTTAAAGTCGCTTGGTGTCAAAATCCAGTACCCAAAAACGCCATGGTTACTTCTAATAATATAATTAATACTATAAAGATGCCCGGCACATCTTGAACCACACCCACATGCCTGCCTGTGAAACTATTATTTGTTCAATCTGTATGGATTGCAAGCAAGTCCTTAGGGACTCAACAGGATTTCGATGTTCCAGTTGACTGCTTACACAAAAAGAACGTCATCTTGCCAGCTACTGTATGCAAATCCAGGTGCAACGTCCAGGAAGCTTGCGTCGGCTTGACAGTGCCAGAGATGCTTGGTGGATGACGATGGATTCACCAAATGGAAGTTGTTTCAGGACTGTTTCAGGAGCAAGGTAGGACACGAAGATACATGGATTGACAAGTGAAAGAGTTTCACTTCAAAGTTGTACTGGTTGTGTGTGTGTGTGGGTTCGTGATGATGACTTGGGCAGAGTTTTTTTCCCTAACCACAGGCTACACCTGGGAAGGATGTTTGTTAGGCTGTCAAGACCTGTCTTGAGAACGATAAGGTCTAAGGTAAGATGGAGGCAATAGGCAAAAATGACCAAAAATGACCAAGAGGGGATGAGGATGGTACAAAGGTATTGTAACAAACAGATGGTACAACATATGATGTTACCTAAAATATCCTTAACTGAGATGTGCACGCCACCATACAGAAGTCAAGTCAACCCAAAACCTGGAAATTCTCTGGCTGGGAAAGCCTAACAACAACCAGGCTGATGAGTTGGCATGTGGGTATGGGTCAATACCTATACAAGTTATGTAGGATTGAAAACAACGATACTTCTCGGGCTTGGCCCATACCCATGTCACATTGACAGATGTCTCATCCATGAACAAATCATGATTTTCCTTGATCTTTCCTTGCCGAGTTTGATTATCGGAGGGTATGGGTTGGTACCGCACAGGGTTGTGCCCCCTGGGTTTTAAGTTGGCTTTATAAGCCCATGTAACTTATATATATATTATCATGATTATGAATTATTATGATGTATGTGCCATGAACCCATTTGTTAGCCTAATTTGTCATGTTTACCAACGTGAGCGAAGGCAGCTGGGGGCAGCACCGTTTGTTAAAGCGGCTGGGTGCGGCTCAGGATCATGGAAGCAGTACGTTTGCAACTGGAACGCGCAGACTTTGTTGAAGGCATGCTGATCACACAGACCATTGGTGAGGACTGGAGATCCTACTGGAAATCCCTTGAGATCCCCGGAGAACCACAAAACTCGGATCAATAAGGGGAATCGTCCGCAAATGGCCCTACATTCCAGGGTGGTGATTTTTTGGTGAATGATTGTTGCAAATTGTCCATAAAGCATCATAACGCCATGTATGGTATTGTATGATACCTATGATGATCCAAAGAAAAATTATGTAACACCATGATTCCGTGATATCTGATACCTCAATTTTGACAGTGTTCACTAGCAAAAGATGATACCATCTGACAATGACAAAAGAAGATCATGCCAATTCCGATAGGAAAGTGATCTTCCAAATCCAGTTTCTTGGGAGTCCATGTTAGGCTTCAGGGCACAGTTGATATGATCCACGAAGAGAACGGTTCTATGATTCGATGCGTTGTTTATTGATTCGAATACAGTACTTACTTTGATGTTGATTGGGCTCGGACCAAAACACTTCACAGGTGAATAAGATTGAATAAGTACAAATAATACAAATAGTTTTTCGAAGTGCCCTATTAACATCCACCAGTTCATGGAGATACAACATCACCTTAGCCTCTTAGCCATTCCAGAGGGGGATGTGTATGCCCAGAAGATTGGACCCTGAAGAAGGCCCACACCGATATTGGGGATGGTCAATCAATTCATAGGGATTCATATTGATTCATAGTATGCCCATTAGAAGGATTCCCAATGTGCTATGGATGACCAGAATCCATATCATATCTATATGAAATATGTATCATGTTTTGACCAGTTGAGGCTGATTTAACATTTTATCTCGGAAACCACCGGGATGGTTTCCCTAAGATTCCGCTGAGTAACTGCCGTAGGACTTTCTCACCAGCGGCCTGCTGAAGTACGTGCTGGAGGATCTCACTATGAACCTTGCCAGTGGCGACAGAAGCGCCAAGCAAACCAGCTTTGTTGTCACGTCAGCAAGGGTGTTTTTTGTCGGGTAATTCATGGTAATTCTGAAAATACTGTAGCACTTTGGAATCAATCCCTGTGTGTGTGCGTGTAACATCTATTTAAATAGATGTAATTTTTGTTCCCTTTTTCTTCCTTCTTTCCTCTCCCTTTCTAAAAACGCAGGGGGGTGCAGAGCACAGTGGAAACTGCACCCAACGAAGCTATCCACTTGTGCTGGAAGCAGAGTCTGATCAACTCTGTGTACCAGCAGAATTCTTTTTGAACTGTTGACACAATGACTTTTTAGGTCTAATTGCCTAGGCTGGTTTGCATGTTACAGGACTCAGTTCCTGACGGATCTATTCAAAGATCCATTCTTGTCTAGTGTGTGTGCGTGTTGTCAATCCCTACCACATTCATGATTGGCAATCACAAATTCTCGGTCATTTTTGGGTTTTATGTCCATCCCTGTCGGTGTACTTTTACCCTCGTTGTTCATCGGGTTAGCCCGTCTTTGCAGTAGCTTGGCTCTGGTAGTTCTCAACCCTGTTTGGCATATCACACTTATCACTACAGGTTGGTTGTCAGTTGTCTGCAAAATAGTTTAGTTTCCAGATGTTCCGTCCCACCCAGAATATTGATGTTATAATCTAACTTCATTTGTATACTGTGCATCTTTTGGATGGGTTGAAATTGCGGAGTCACCGACCAGACCATTGTCATGATCGTCAATGCAAAACAACGCTATATAATTTTTGATAATGATAATGATAATGATGATAACAATAATGATAATGATAATAATGATAATAAGGATATATATAAGAATAACAATGATGATAATGATGGTAATATATATATATACTAACAGTAACTATATGTATATCATGATTATATATGTATCATAATACTGATAACAATACTGAGAATGATAATTAGTAGTAATAATAAGAACAGTAATGATGATATATGATAATAATGACAATATTTAATAACAATATCATATATGTATGATCATGACTTAGTAATAGTAAGACTATTCATTGATACCCCAGAATAAGACTTATATATCATGAAAAAATAATCACCATAATGACAATATATCTATATAAATACAATATACAATAGTACGTTAATGGTATATCTATAGAAGCATAATAATAATGATAATAATGATGATGATGATGACAATGATAATGATGATAATAACAATGAAAAAACAATAATAACAATGAATAAGAATAGTAATATTAGTGCCCGCAGAACCTAACGTTGGCCCAAGATAACATACTGTAAAATATTTCATTGTCCCACGGTTTGAACACATGTTTCATCCGCCGTTCGAACCGCCTTGCAGGGATGGACGGTACACTAGGTGTGGCCCCTTGCCAAGCGCACGACACGAAACTCGCTTCATGGCTTGTTTCACAATAATTTGCGGCAACAACCCTTCGCAGACTTCGTGGGGGTCCGTGAAAAAGAAGGACCGTTTCGTGCAAGAAATTCCAGGCTCCGAGCAAACGTCTGGTTCTGTTCGTAATAATAAATTTTAGGTAATATTAGTACTTTTAACAACAGTAAAATATAATGTTATATACTCAAATGTAACATAAGATAAGATGACATACATTTTTCAAATACAGCATAATGCATTGTAATATAAGGTAATTTGATCTACAGTAATTTAATTTAATATAGCATCGTATAATGCAATGTAAAATAATATGATGTAACATAATCTTTTTCATGCAGTTTGAAATTTTACTTTCAATAATAATACCTATAACCATTTCATATCATATCATGTCAAATAGAATCATACAGCACAATATAGTCTAATTTTATAAAGCTTAACATCGCATAATATAACTTAACGTTTTGTTTACATAATTTAATGTAGTTTAATAGAATACAATATAATATTTCAATAGTACTACTAATAAAATCGTCGTCGTCATCATCACCATCATCATCGTCTGAATCTGGTGCCCTCCACCCTTACAATCACCGAGGAACTTACCTAAGCTGGTGAAGATCGTCTCCTCGTGCATTGCGGATCCCCAGGCGGCCATTTTGGGGATAAAATGGAGGTAGCTTAGAGGATACGTTGATCGGAAATTGGGACCAACATAGTCCATGTGAATAGAACTGCCAAGTCGGAAAGCGCTGTTGTGAGGGCAAACCCCAGATAAAGTTGAGTTTTCCGTTGGAGATCATGCCGGGCTCTAAATTTGGATGTTTTTTTTTAAACATCTTGTCAGCTACCGTCACCCAACCGACAGTATGCCAACGGCCTTGCGCCAGAAATACCCATTAAGCCACAAAGGTCGGTCAGTTTTCCAAGTATCTAATTTGAGTGGAAGACAAAACAAAAGCCCAAGCACACCAGAGATGGGTCAATTCAATTTCATAGACCTTCTCGATTGGGTTTGTCTAACAATGGTGTATACTCTCCAAAATGGCCAGATTGACAGGGAAACTGGTGACAAGTCCATGATAAAGCATCAAATTGGGTCCGACAATATTCCCTTTGGCCTGGAAGGGCATGTTTTCATACGTGCCATGGTCAAAAGTTGGATCCGGCTAATTGGACTAGTTTTTTCTCACCTTCTGCATTGGTCACCAATACCCGCCACCTGCGCTTCGGGTTGGTCTGGATCGTGGAATCAGATCCGCAAACACCGTGTGAAAAGTTGCATTGTACACCCATATTATTGGGGTCGTCAATCCATAGAATCTAAGAAATTTATATAATATATATAATTGTATATATATATATCTCTCTCTCTCTGCCATTACAAAGATTCTCATTATGGGATCAATGCCCACAAACCATATATCGTAACATCTTTTGACCATGTTTCATTTGATTTGGTGTTCCCCTGACCTCAAGAAATCGTCAGGCCGATCATAGCAAGAGCTCCGCAAATGCGGCCATCTCGAGCAAACACCAACTGGATGCTTGGCTGGTGAGGGCTGGGTATATGACATTTGACATACATACCTACACCTCACAGCTGATTGTTTTGGTATATAGTATATAAAGCAACCAGCAATCCCCAAAAATATGGAAAAAGTGTGCCACCAGGATGGTGAGCGTGATATTTACATATATTCACCGAACCTCATATGTCCAGGTTTCCAACATTGTTTTCTATTTTGGAGTTGCTATATGAATGCATCTGTGCAATTTCTCTGGTTTTTTCATCTCTACTATGATTGGTTCACCTCCAACGAAGCATTGAAGCGTCCATCCTTGGTGCAATGTTGTGAACCAAACCATGTTCCACGCAGTTACCGACTTGACAACCTAGCCGTTAGAAGTTTCTCCCAACCAGCGAAAAGTTCCCATAGACTCACCAACAAACCTAGTCATACCCATTCAGGAAAACTACTGCGAACCATTTCAGACTTGGCCTCAGGGGAAATGACCCTCCCTTATTTGGCTAGTAAAACATAGTCAAACATAGTACAACCATCGTTTTCTTGTAGATTTCTCTTGAAAAAACCCAGTGAAACCACCAGTTCCCAGCAATTTCCGGAGGAAGGCAGCGATGTCGTGCTCTTCTACGATGCGACCTCCTCCAAAAAATTGGCCAGTCAGAAGGCGCAGCCGGTGATGGTGATGGAAGGGGGTGTCGCGGGGAGGTTTTACCACCCCAAAAAATTAATGGAATTGGTAGATTTTGAAAGAAATCTGAGAGGCAAATTACATGTTTTCTTCGTCCTCAAAATCAAGATTGTATCAAGTCTGGGGGGATGCGACCAAGGAAGATTCAAGCAACTTAGAACGAGTTGTTTCCATCCATCAAACTGGGTAAACCAATCTCAGATGGGACGGAAAAACAAATAAAAGATCAGTAGCTGAGTTGCCCAAAGGGTGCAACACACGGGTCGCGGGAACCTGGGAATTTCATGGCTGGTTGATCCTACTTCATCCAAGACCAAGCAGTGACGAAAGCCATTGACATGATTGGTTAAACTGTTTAATGGTGATTAGAGTGGTTGTACCTCTATATGTTATATCATATATATATATCATATATATATATATCATATCATATATATATATATATATCATATATATATATATATATCATATCATATCATATATATATATATATCATATATATATATCATATATATATATCATATCATATCATATATATATATATATCATATATATATATATGATATGTTACCATATATATATATATCATATTTATTTATTGGGGACATTTGTGGACCGTTGTGGCCTCTCAGTCAGTGGGCATCGCACGTTCGCCAGGTCAATGGTTTTGGGGTGGCCAATCCAGACGATGCAGAGTGCCGAGGCACGGGGCTACGGATGATCAAAGCTCAGTTGGATCTTGTTTACATTGCAAAAGTCGTTGAGATGGTAAAGGTATCCAGTAATGTGGGTGAAACAATAATAAACCCCCGAATCACCATAGATAGTTTGTATAAACCATTCCCAAATGGGTGGGTTATTATTGTTTGACCCACATTATTGACATATATTAACTTACTACAACTTACTAACTTACTTTACATTATAGATTACCCGTACGTTTTTTGAGGAATCAACGTGAATCATTGATTCCAATAGATTGCTCCATCCTGAAGGATCATGCTCACATTGGATCCCCAAAGTGGCAGAGTTTGGTCAGTCATCCATTCGCTCTTACGTAATGAACAAGTGATTGCATTCTCCAGATATGTTTGGCTATAATATATACATATATTATGTATATATATACATAGTGTAATGCAATAAAATGTCATATAATGTAATGTGATGTAATGTAATCTATAATGTAATCTTATGTAATCTAATGTATGCATCCAGTACTTGTATATAGATCATTACCACACTCTGATATTGTTAAGATTTGATAGGCATGCGACCAATGGGCCAGTGGCTTTTGCTCCACCGTCATCCAAGTATTGTCCGGGGGATGCCTCAAACAATAACAAGCCATCATGCTTGCTCATTACACACCCATTCTTACCAATTGAACACCCAGGCTGAAGTAAAAGATATGTTTGCTCATCAAACACCACTGTCTGTTCATCTAAATCATCCTTTTTGCTGATTTCGCACCAATTTTATCCAATTTTGATGTCATGATTGCTCATTCAACAGCAAATTTGGTAGATGTTTGCTTATTTCACACCAGTAAGCACTCATTGTTGATGAAATCCCCCATGTTTTCTGATTCAGCAACCATGAAATATCGCCCGTGACTTAGCGATGCTCACCCCACGAGGTATCGCCAGCCGCATCTTCAGCGGTCTCACTGGGCCCATGCGCTTTGGCCGTGTGGATGGCGCCACGCCCTCCTGTTTGTCGCACCTGGCGACGACGCTTGTAGATGGAAAGGGGAGAAAGGGGGGAAGGTATTCTATTATACTAGATAGAGATGTCAAATACATATATAATGTGATTATCATATACTGTATAATTACTTGTTGCCATAGTTGCATGAGAGTTTGAACTTTGTGATAGCCCGGTTCTTTGTCCTTTTTTGGTCCGAGGTGGGAGATTGAGTAAGTATAGCCCAGAAAAACAAAATGTAGAAACACGCCTGTTTCTCCGTGGCCCTAATTGATTCTCATGTGTTTTGTCTCCAAGATTAAACATTGTCCCTTTCCCGTGTGAAACTCCGATCACCAGATTTTTGCATTTTCCAACATCCCAACCTTGACCAGAATCTTAGTGGTTATAACCCAGCTTGTGGAGATACACCGGGGCTTTACCCGAAACATTTTTTTTTACATAAGGGTGTCCATAATTTCCAAGAGACCCACGCGACGTTCCTGGCTGTTCCCCCATCCATGTTTGAGGACCCTGGTGCCCTACCCTCGCGCAGCTCCACTGCAGAATGGCGCATCTTTGGTCTACGAATCATGTAAAAGGCACCGCTGTCAATATGATTAGCCCTCAAAAAGGGTTCCTGAAATGAATTGAAAAAGATAATAATATATAATCATGCTCTTTGATTGATTTCTTGGACCCCAAACCTGACCTCGCCAATGGAAGGAGAGTTTGGGTCGTCTTGAGGTCAAATACACCTTCCCATCTCTGGGGGGGCTTGGGGGTGTCACCGATTCAGGCGTGGGACGTTTTCCCCGGGAAAACGTCATCTGGATGTGTGGGACTGGATGGATGACTGGGAATTGTTGAAACCTATAGTGGATATCTCAAATAAAAAGAAACTCAAGATATCGATCATTCTCAATCTGTCATATTCGAGGTTTGATCTGGACCCAGTTTTGCAATCACAACTGGTTGATGTGTTCAATGGTTGTTTTTTGTCTGTCCCTAAATGGATGATGAGTCCCAGTGACTTTACATTTTTCAGGCTGGCAAAAAACAAACACCAACAAGATCCAACAAGCATCATGAAAGCTGCTGACTAAAAACCCGGCAACATGGAGATTACAAACTCGCGATGTTTGCTAGTTAAACCAATATGATCCAACTACAACCAGATTTTTTCGTTGCATTCGACCTTTATCCAACATTCTCCAACTGCACCTTGAACCCAGCAATGGTTTTCCTAGGTTTCAAGGTTTCGCCTTGCTTCGCCTTGCACCTTGGGTCTCGCTGCCAGGCATGCCCGTTGGCTTTGAGGCCGCCTCAGCGGCCATCTCCAATGGTCGCTGGGGCCAGCAATAGGTCTTGTTGAGAAAGCAACATTAAACCACCCATAGGATCCATATGTTGATGGTTTCTAGCACCCATTTATGGTAAGTTTGGGGGTGGATCATATTGCTTTACTCATATATATATATATACACATATATATATATATTATCAATGTGGGATTCACCAAATTTCATGAACTATCCCCGAGTCATCACTATTTTTATGGGTGGATACTGTAAACCATCCCCGAATGGGAGTTTTTTATGTTGTGTATGGCACGGGCCCACAGTACATAGCTGGTGTAATTGTTGATAAAAAGCTCATACGATACGATACGATCTGTTTTTCCATCCATGTCTGCGGGATGATGGATCCAGTCAGACTCACATAAGTTGGCGCTGCAGGGGGAGCAAGTAATTCATCCAGCCATCGTACTGACCAACAAACAAAAAGGTGGCGGGTGGTTCAAAGTGGATTCGTCCATCGAATTTTTGAGACTAAACTATCATAAATTGAACTTAACCATCCAAATTGGGATTAAAGTCAGTTGGGTTTATCCTAAGTTGTCATCAAATAATGGTAAAATGATCATAAACCTCTGGATTTGGGCCATCCTATTTTCAAACAAACACAAGTATGTCTTATCTTGAATCCCCCAGACTGCCAGGATCCAAACTGGCGTTCGTTGACCTATTCTATCCGTTCCAGGTAAAGCAGCGTCCAAAAATAGGCTCCATGATGCTCCATAGCATATCCAATGACTTCAATCCACGTGGATGGATAAATCATGTTAAACCTCCATTGTTTGGCATAAACTCCCCTGCGTTTCATGGAAAAATCTTCGCCACAAAAACGTCGCTCAGGTTGCCTTTGCACCGCCAATGCGGATCGCACGAAAGGCGCTGGGGAAGGTGGGAAGGAGAGTCCATCCTCAAATGCAATGCAGATCATTCAGGGACTTAGTGGGTGATTACTGGTCTACATGAGCATGTCATGTTTTTTCTAGGCAGCACATTCCAGTCCGGGTTCCCATTTCCATTACTTGTGGGGGCTTGGTGCCACTATGTGCCACTACAAACCTGTTTTCAGGCTGTATTTTGTAAGGAATTGTGGTCTCGAAGCCTTTATTTTGTAGCAAGAGGGTTCTTGCAGTCCGATCACGGACAGGCTGCGGCTGGGGTCTAGCCTCGCATTTTGCAGTGATCATGTTGATCATGTTGCAGGCTAGGATCATAACCAGCCGGAAACTCCCGAGTTCACTCGATTGTTGTCAACTCAATGTAGGCTTCAAAAGTATCCAAAAGTGTTGAATCCTTTCGGTAGGCACATGGGGCCGTGAGCCCATGGGTAGAACACATAGCACATGGATAGAAATAGATAGAATAAAAAAAAGGTAGCTGAGAGTGACTACAAAATGGAGTCGTAAAAAGATCATCGCTTGATGACCCTCCGTCTTCGTGTGAGACCCTTTCCAGGCCCCGCCCTTTTTGCAACAATTGCTGTTGTGCTGTAGACAGGATCCATTTTGTAGTGATTTTGTTTGATCCTTTAAAACTTTAGTTGTCTGAGATTGAGCTCAACCACCAGGCACAACCCCTATCAGAACAAATGGGCGGTCAAAATTTGGGTACCCGAAAAATCCAGAAACATGAAATCCTCAGGAATTCCTAGAGATTTGGGTTACCCAAATCCATCGTCCCACAAAAGGCCTTGTTTTATCCCGATCCCAGGGAAGACCATCTCGTCGACCATGATCTGCCGCGGCATGGCGCACTCAATGGCCTTATCTCCTGCCACTGGGTTATGAGATCTATGATGTCAATGAAGTGTATCAAGATGTACACACTGAAAAATATGTTCCCCATATGCGAGGGTGTGTTTGTCTTGGTCACTCAGGTTTTTTTGTCTCTTGGCCGATTCCCGTAAATGAAAACGGCTTGGCCATTAGGCTAAACCAAATGTAGAGGAGTTTAGAACATTCGGAACTGGCGGTGTGGTGCCATTGGTTGATGTTTGTATCCCGATGTCCGGTGGTTCTATCCCAATAATTCATTTTTTGGTGGTCATATCCTCAACATGTATGCGGGTATTCCTGTCATGGGTGCCAGCGTTGCAAAGTTGTGGATTGAGATTGGATGATTGGGAAGTCCATGGCTACCCCAAACAGATTCAACATCACTTAAATTCTCTCCAAAATGTGTTTTCTGAAAATTGTGTCAAAAACACAAGAAATAGATGGTTTGAAGCCTCACTTTCCCCATTTGTTAACGGCCATTTCGGGTGGCCGTCGCTTTTTTTATGTCCTATGAAATATTTCCGGTAGTATACTGTATCCATTGTTCACCATGTTCCATGATCATGAGAAAATAATGAAGAATAATAATATTCTTATTCAATTTGCAATGTATATATATATATTGTAGAGCTTCGCACACCGGCGATGCCTGTAGGGGTCGGGGGAGGGAAAGAGAGAGGGGGATTTCATCTGAACTTGCGGACATGACATGCTGCGAGCTGCATCTTCGTTGTCGTCAGCGTCATTGTCGTCGTCGTCGTTGTCGTTGTTGTCGTCGTTGTTGTTGTTGCTTCTGGTCCTCCTTCTCTTTCTTGTTCTTGTTCGTGTTGTCGTTGTCGTTGTCGTTGTCCTTGTTGTCGTCCTTGTCGTCCTTGTCGTCATTGTCGTCGTTGTCGTTGTTGTTGTCGTCGTCTTCGTCGTCGTCGGCGTCGTCGTCGTCGTTGTTGTTGTTATTGTTGTTATAGCTGTTGCTGCTTGGTCCTGTTGTCGTTGTCGTTGTTATCTTTGTAGTTGGTACTTTTTGCAAACCCCCCAAAATCGTCAAATCGACGGTTTTTGCAAACCCCCAAAAAGCGTCAAATAGGCGGTGTTTTCGCGATTTTTCACATTCTCGGAACAAAAAAACACCGTAAATACCGATGTTTTTGGCTCCGCGCCAACGCAAAACCACGGTATTTACGAGGTCTTGAGCCTTTGCTAGCAAAAATCACTGTATTTACAGTGTTTTGTGGCCTGGGCCTAGCAAAAACACTGGTATTTACGCAGTTTCCTGCATGTTGTCAGAAGCTTTTTTTGGATGCCAAAGGCACAAAAACAGTGTAAATTACACGATTTTTACGCGTGGACAGTACCAAAAAAAATTTGAAAAATTGACCAAAAAGCGACCAAAAAACGCCCTTTTCCATGAAACAAACCATCCAGCTACCGGGGTACATCCATTGATGGAAACCCTCATATGGCTGGATTTAACGTGGGTAAAACAATAAAACCATACCCCGAGCATTCTATGTGCTCGTTGACCATCCCCCGGTAGATCGATTTATATTGCAGCAGTTTCAGTTTTGGGTGGCGCGTGCGAGCGGTAGAGTGAGCCTTTGCTGTATACTCATGGCAACCTTGGAGTTCCAACCTCCGATGACGTTGAGCCATCGCAAATTGGCGTTTGAATATGTGAAGGAAGTGGTTGGAACGACAGAGCTGCGGTTGATCAAGAAGGTGACTCCCATGCAACGAGGTACGTTGTTGCATGTTCCTTGGTTGCACTGTCGGGTCTATGGAGTCGGTCTACACAAAATAGTGCGACAATTTCAGAACTGGACCTCTATGTTGACACAGGGACATGTAGATCTACATATACACGTATGGAAATGGATCTAATCCAAAGGTGTAGCAGGGGGATAATGTTTTTTGCTTGCCCCGCGCCTAGATTGTGACACAAGATGATGTCGGAGCTGATGGAATTGAACGTGTCCGTCACGCATTGCATGCCCGAGGGGAAGTGCGTGTGCTTGGCCAGGAGTCGCACTTGGCAAAGAAGGCACCTAAAGGGCAGAGAGTCTGACAATCGAGCGACTGCTCCAACCCCAAAGTTTGACTTCCAATTGTCTTTTGAATCGGAAAGTGGTTGAATGGAGTACGTAGAACAAGTGTGTTGATTCAACGATCTAAAGTCATCGAAGGGGCATGGACATATCCATCTGTATTCTTGAGCTGGACAGCAACTTTGCAGGAAGCAGACGCGCGTCTCCGAGTTGCGCGTGAAGAACAACGTTGTGGATTGATGTCTGGAAAACGTGCAGCTGATGTGACCATGGCACTCCTACAGCTTCGAGGAACCTCTGGAAGTGAGAGGCAGCGTGTCCTGTCTGCACTGGATGTTGTTTTTCATTCGGAGATGTTGGAACATTCTGTGCATATCATGTAGGTAATTAATACAATTTTCAAGAACACCCGGTTACAGCATGTTGAGTTTGGCCGACGGGTGCAGTCAGGTGCGCGATTCAGTACCGAAGCCTTAGAACTCTGCAAGCACGCCCAGACTTGGAGCTCGGATGGTCTGCGTCGATCTGACGCTGATGAGCAAGGAGACAATGGAGGAGATCATGAAGGTGAGTGAGAAAGCCTTGTATAGACGGCCACTTGTGAACTGTTGCTGGCCGTTTGCATCACAGTTTGGCCACGTGTATTGCTCAAATCTCCGGGACGTGTTGTGCATGTGCCCTTTGGCCGATTTCAACGGCGGGCCCTTTGCTGCCTCTTGAAGCCTTAAGTGGTCATTTCTTGAGTATAGAAAGGGTGGCATTAGCTCCACAGCTTTCCGGTTATCTTTGGTTTTTATGTTTGACTCACGATTCTTCGATCTTGTGTGACCCAAGAGGCTTCAAAGTGACAATTTGGGGCATGCACAGAACTTTGGATTGAGGCCCAGTGCCTGATTCAAGTTTGAAATGGCCACGGCTATAGTCCACAGCGGCTACAGTTGTGCAGGCAGCGATGTCTCTGCTTTTGAAGCATCCAGATGTTTGCAGCGTCACAGACGTAGCGGCATTGTTTTTCAGAACTCCAGACAGCAATGTTTGCAGAAGTGAAACCAACAGGAGTTCAACAGGAGCTTTGTGTATAGATGTGAAGCTGGGTTTTTGGGTATACGCTCACTCGAAATCATTGCCGGTGGGGCCGAGACAGCGAACTTTGAATGATCGAAATGCGGGTCTCATGGTTGAGCTAAAATCTGTTGGGAATGCGCGGTTGTGTGAAGCAGCAAAGATCGTTGGGATAGATGATTCGACTAGGGATCAGCAAGCTCCAACTTTGTGGGGATAGATAGCCCGGCCAGGTGAAGGGGCGTGCGTGGTTCTAAATGGTGAAGATTGAAGATTCGGTTTTGGAGGCGGGTGTTTGGTGAGTTTGGGGGGGCGCGCGCGCGGACCTTCAAAGTATCGGGGAGGCATGATAAAAGTATATAAGTAGATGTTGTTGGTCACAAAAGATGTATCAGCCAAAATATGTTGCTGATGAGGTGTCGTCCAACTGGTTTAATTTGAAAGGGTTCATTCTCTCAAACTCAATGTTTTGATAAATTAAAGAACAATATTATTGGTTACAAACGGGGGCGCGCGCGCGGACCCCCAAAGTCTCTGGGAGACATTGTAACGATTATATAGCTGGTTGAAACATTATGGATCGAAAATCTTTCGTCCCAAAATTTGTGTTGGATCAAATGCATCATGATTTTGTGCCGCGAAAAAAAGACATGAAAAGCTTACTATTCCAGTCAACATGATTTGTTGCATCTTCTTGTTGGTCAGAAGTCAAGCCAACCAGGCTTGATTACCGTTCTTTGAGGCCTTAGAAGGCTACGTTGCGCTGAAAGAATTGGCTTTCCAAACCATAAGGTGCACAGTTTGGACAAAGTTGGGATGGGCTGAAGCTTTCGAACATTTCTGTAAAAGATGCCCGGTAGATCCACTGATGGATTGATTTTACCTTTCTAAGACTCTAACCTAGCGGAGGATGATAATTTGGAATCGGATCCATTGAGATGTCCTTTCTGCAATCATCTCAGATGCAACGTTTTCCAGATCAGATTCACTTCATCCAGCTACACGGTAGGGTAGCGCTGCTGCTGTCATGGCCGCGCCTGTGGTGTCACCCGTGAAGCGCCGCCGCACGGCGCCGGCTGTTCCAGCTCAGCGTGCGGTGACTGATGTTGCCAATGTGGCAGCCGTGCATGCTGCGGAGCCTGGTAGCTTGATCAAGATCGAGGCTTACATGGTCTTTCTTCACCCGCTTCGACGAGTAGCAGTGCGAGGAGTTGAGAAGCCGATTGTATCTGTGCCTTGGTTGCAGCTCCACAGAGAGGTTGGGTAGGTGGCGGAAGGTTTTGGGCCGCTATTTGGTAATTTGGTATGTGGCAGGGAGCATGTAAGTTGCAGTAGTGTCATTGTGCTATCAAGGTGGTGTTGGCGGATGAGACAGGCACCGTGCGGCTGGAACTCTGGGATGGTTTGGCAAAAGGCAACATCAGCATTTTGGCCCAGGCCGATGCAAAGGATGGGTTCTCCTTGGTCACTGTGAGCAACGCGCAGGTATGTTTGCCACGACATGGGTCATATCAGCAGGGGAAGCAACTGACTGGTGTGCCCGTGACCACGCTGCAAGTCGGTGCCACCTCGCAATCTTTCGGGTATTGAAAGCAGTGATGTGATGGCCAAGGACTTTTCTGGGCTGATTTCTATGACTTGCCCCTTTCGAGTCAACTTGATTGGGACGATCCACGAGATTGATGATGAGGTCAAGTTCACTCGGGATGACATTGGGCAGAAGAATGTGATTCTCCATGATGCTTCTGGGTTCGGTGTCAAACTCTTGTGCCATGGGTATTGGTGCGAAGAGCCCATGGAAAGAGGGCAACGGTGGGCGATCTGTTTCGGAGAGTGCCGTGCTGAGAAAGCAGGTGAAGCAGTGATTTGGATCTTCGATTCGGCCTATCTTCTTCGACTTCCTGACCAGGATGAACCCCCGGTGTTTCGTGAGGTGCTTGCATGCTGCTGCTGCTGCTGCTGCTGCTGCCGCTGCCGCTGCCGCTGCCGCTGCTGCTGCGCTGGTGCTGCAGGCTTCCAAAACGTACCCCTCGCCACACCGAAACACCATGCTACTGAAGGACGGAACGACCTCCAAAAAACATGCTGCCCCGAGGCTTGACGTCCCTTCTGGATTCTGATAAGAACAAAGCGAGTTCAGCTGCTGGGCCTGCTGCTGCTGCCGCTGCCGCTGCTGCTGAGCTGGTGCTGCAGGCTTCCAAACGTACCCCTCGCCACACCGAAACACCATGCTACTGAAGGACGGAACGACCTCCAAAAAACATGCTGCCCCGAGGCTTGACGTCCCTTCTGGATTCTGATAAGAACAAAGCGAGTTCAGCTGCTGGGCCTGCTGCTGCTGCTGCTGGTGGTGGTGGTGGTGGTGGTCGTGGTGGTGCTGCTACTGCTGCTGGAGCTGGTGCTGCAGCCCTCCCGGATGGGAAAGCACCATGGCTGAAACCCATAGAAAAAGATGAGTTTAGCTACTTTTTCCTCCTGCTGCTGCTGCTGCTTCTGCTCCTGCTACCCCTTCTGTTCAAAAGGCAACTCCAGAAGTAGTAGTAGTAGTAGTAGTAGGAGGAGGAGGAGGAGTAGTAGTAGTCGTAGTAGTAGTGGTAGTGGTAGTGGTAGTGGTAGTGGTAGTGGTAGTGGTAGTAGTAGTAGTAGTAGTGGTAGTGGTAGTAGTAGTAGTAGTAGTGGTAGTGGTAGTGGTAGTGGTAGTGGTAGTAGTAGTGGTAGTAGTGGTAGTGGTAGTAGTTGTAGTAGTAGTAGTAGTTGTTGTTGTTGTTGTAGTAGTTGTAGTAGTTGTAGTAGTTGTAGTAGTTGTAGTAGTAGTAGTAGTAGCAGTAGTAGTAGTAGTCCGACAAGGGTCAAATGTCTTCAAATGTCTTATTCCCTGGCGCGCTCCCCCTTGCGTCTGCCGGGGTCGGCGGACATATATATATATATATACATATGTATATATATATATATATGATTTTATATGGCAGTCGATCTAAAGGTCCTTGTAAGGAGTTTCAATTGCGAAAGCCCGTGTGTGTTGTGTTGGAAACCCTCGCGAAAGTTTTTTTTCGAGTTCGCAAAATATTTTTGTTCGCGAAAGTTTCGCGAAAGTTGGATATGCTGAATCATTATCATTGTATGCATTACAGCTTGTTAAGGGCTATCACCTCCTGCCGCCCGGGGTCTGGCAGGAGAATGGTACCGCACCATAGGTAGCAGCCAAGCTTCCGAAAGTGAGCCGAATACCATGGTCTGCCGCTGGTACTGCCTAATGTTGCTTTCTGAAGTCTCAAGAAACAAGCTCCAAATGCAGCAGCCAAGCTTCCAAAAGTGAGGCTTTGCGAGAGCCAAACACCAAGGCCCCTGGTGTTTGCTTTTCCTCTGATGCGCCCCCTGCTGATGGCTGGGGTTTGCGGATAGAGGTATTTTCGCAAAAGTTCCGCGAAAGAATGGGCGAAAGTCAAAGTGCATTTTGAAGGGGGTGGCCCAGTAAGCCTTGCAAAAAATTGCCTAATCAGCAACAACCTGTCCTGAGAAGGGGATTCCGTGATGCTAGCTGCATGTCTACAAGCCTATGAAGAAGTTATCCGTGATAATTTTGTGTGATTTGGCAGGTGATGGATGAATCTTCATAAAGGGGGGTTGTTGCTCAACATGGGTTCGGCGAAAGATAAACATGGAGCTCGCGAAAGATGCACGATAGAACTTTTTTATTCGCGAAGAATGACCGTTCCCGGATAAAGGAATTTTGACAATTGATAGGTATATATATATATTCTATTCTATTTTTTTTATTATATTATATTTTATTTTATTAGATTAGATTCTATTATTTTATATATATATACATACCCGAATATAGGTGAATCATATGGGATCCTAGTATACCCCTCCAAAGCATCATGCCTTTGAGGTGATCTCCAAACGCCTGGACCATCCGCAGGAGTGGGTGGACTATAGCGCCTTGGCCAAACGCTGCAACGCTGAAAGTGGTGTGGATGTGAAATGTTGGCATCAATTGGCATCAACTGGTATTATGTTGGTATCATGTATCTATATCTCTATACATCTAGATGTATATACATATATATATTATTGTGATTTACACTAATGCGTGTTTGTACTGTGAAAAAATGCTACTTGATCAATTACACTGACTCTTGGACAGCGAACATGCACAGTGCATCGTCGGCTTGAGGTTCTAACCCCCAGCTGCGATTGTGAAACACCGGTTTTTGGATGGTCAACCAGTTGTATCAAATTGTATATCCCTGGTTGTTTCTGTTTGGTATTGCTAACAAGTAACTAAAAGATGCCGAAAAGTGAGTAATTGATCACAATTTGAGTAAGATTTTGCTATTCTATCTTTTGGGAGGTTATATGGGGATGTTCAAAACCTTTGATTATTACCATACCTAGGGGGAATACACATCCATTAACCAGCTATATACCCATGTGTAAATATTTATATGTATATATATATATATATGCACCCATAGACGTATATACTCATACATACATATATATATATATATAATACTATATATATATATATGTATATCCGGGTCAAAATCGATCCGCGTGCATCGAGGCAAAGGCTCCGTGAGCGTGGTGAGTTTCCAGGTGGGCGCTGAGCGCTTTGCGCTTTCGGGCATTGCAACAGGGCTTGGCTGTGTGGGATTACCAGCAAAAATGTCATACAGGATATATTTATGTGGTGGATATATATACTCTGACTTAAAAGTAGATGGCTCAGAATCTTGAGTTGCGCCATCTATGTCAAAAAAATGGGGGATAGATGAGGCCAGTTGAGCCATCTATGTCCCTAAAAATGACATATTTTTTGCAACCTTCTGCGCTGATTTCTCCCCAATTTTTTTTCTCAACATCAAGCTGCTTTTTTGGGACATAGGAGTTGCGCCATCTATGTGGACATTCCCAGCCTGATTTTGGCGAGATGACGGAAGTTGTTTTGAGCCAGCAAAGGTCGAGACGCTTTAAAACCCAATTTTAACAAGTGACCTGAGGAACCGTTTTTGCCGTCAAGAAACGGTTCCTCAGGTCACTTGTTAAAATTTGGTTTTAAAGCGTCTCGACCTTTGCTGGCAAAATGACGGAAATTGCGCCATCTATGTCCCAAAAAGGACAACTCTGATGTCTTTCCTGTTGGTTTTGCCTCCTGTCCTGGGACAACTCTGATGTCTTTCCTGGTGGTTTTGCCTTCTGTCTTGGGAAAACTCTGATCGATGTGGCATATTTTGGTTAGGTTGGTTGATGGATGTCGGGAGATATGAGGGAGTTGCGCCATCTATGTGGGCATTCCCAGCCTGATTTTGGCGAATTTTTTTCTGGCGCTTGAATGAGATTTAAGGGACATAGATGGCGCAACTCATTTTTGAACCCATCGAAAAAGAAATTTCTGGCGTTTGAATGGGATTTAATAGATGGCGCAACTCATTTTCAAGGTATGGCAATGAAATTTTAAAAGTGTTTTTCTAATATATGTTTGTCAAAATATGTTGGAAAATGAGATTTCTATCCATAAATTCTGTCCACAATCAGTTTTAAAACCTTCAGTGGCTCATTTTCAAGGTATTGCAGTGAAATTTTGAAAGATTTGAATGCAATTTAAGGGACATAGATGGCGCAACTCACTTTTTAACCCACCGATTTTTTCTGGCGCTTGAATGAGATTTAAGGGACATAGATGGCGCAACTCATTTTTGAACCCATCGAAAAAGACATTTCTGGCGTTTGAATGGGATTTGATTTAAGGGACATAGATGGCGCAACTCATTTTCAAGGTATGGCAATGAAATTTTAAAAGTGTTTTTCTAATATATGTTTGTCAAAATATGTTGAAAAATGAAATTTCTATCCATAAATTCTGTCCACAATCAGTTTTAAAACCTTCAGTGGTTCATTTTTAAGGCGTGGCACTGAAATTTTGAAAGATTTGAATGCGATTTAAGGGACGTAGATGGCGCAATTCATTTTTGAACCCACCGAAAAAATGATTCTGGCGTTTGAATGGGATTTAAGGGACATAGATGGCGCAACTCGTTTTATACAATACAAATTTGTGCAATTTCACCGTATATACGAGCAAAAATGATCGGAAATGTAGTAAACTTAGTTAACAATACCCTTATGTCCATATACTGGAGTGGCAGTTGCGCCATCTACCTTCTCATTTTAAAGTAGGGCGATTTTTTCCTCAATTGGCGGAACTCGTTTTATGTTCCAGCTAAAATAGCGCCGTTTTCTTTCTCAGCGCGCGGTGCCATCTTATGGGTATTTTGGTTTTTGAGTTGAGCCATCTACTTTTAGGTTAGTGTATATAATATATATATATATATACATATATATAATTATATATTTGGCTCGGGGAGAAAATCGGGCGTTCTCAAGCGGTGTGTTTGAGGTGTGCTTTTCCAGTGATTGCTAGATGATCCGTTTGCATGTTAAGGAGAAGACTAATCATGCGTCATAATGTGGACTGCAAGTAGCTATCTCCCTGAGACAGTTTCTGTCTGGGCCATACAACTCACAGTTGCACCGGTCCTCTGCAGGTGACATTTGCTGTGTCGTCGTTGGCAATGGGGACTCTGGGGCAACCTGTGTTGGAGATCGTCCCAGGGAGCGGGGTCGTGGAGACTCGGACGACGATGCTCAACATCCCCCCAAGACGATGCTCAACATGCTGCCAAGATCACTCCTGCCCTAGGACTGTTGGCTACCTGCAGGACGCTCCACCACCCCTCTTTAGCACAGACTGAGTCACCATCACCATCTCCTTCCTCAGTTCGCGATGGGCAAATGTTCCTTGTGGCTGCAAGAAGTGCACAATGACTCGCATGTTGCTTCTGTCCGTTTCCAGCCGTTTCCTGTCGCATCAGTCGTTCCACCGCCGCAATCTGTGCCTACCCATGTGTTACTGTGTTACTGCTGCATCTTCGCAGAAATCTGTGTGGCTCAGTTCATTCGCAACCCCTCTCCTCGCAATCACTGCCATGGATCTCCCGTGTGAATTTCATTGGCGCAAGATTGTGGCCATGGGGAACAACCTGGACGGTGGACACTTGGACGGTTCCCTTCGCGGAATCTATGCGTGCATTGGTCGCCTACTCACATACCTTAGCTGGATGGAGTGACTGCGATGGCCTTTTTGTCTGCCGAAGGCGGTCCAGTTGCCACCAAATCATGTCTAAGCAGCGGTGAAATCCGGAGAAAACAGAAGTTCCAAGGGTTGCAGTCGCAATTTACTTTTTTCGCCTTGCATCGCCATTTGTGTCTGCCTGGCAGCGTCCCCTCCTGCAGGTTTCCTTCCGTTCTGCTCATCCACGGCGGCAGCAAGACGCGAGCAGCGCCAGAGGTGCACTGGCTTCAATCTGTATGCATGTTCGTACCAAAAGAAGAGGTAGCAAACATAAGCGGTTCTGCTTGCGCATCTTGTTGTGACACTTGCTCTTTCTAGTGCTATGTTGTGTCAGCCCATCTTCCATCAAGCTGCCCCGCTGGAACAGTCTTTGTCAGGTTGTAGCTGAGTGAAGAGCTGGCAAGAATCTGACCAGAGTGACTGTGCCTGCGGACCTTGTTGTGACAGGTGCTCTTTCTATTGCTATGTTGTGTGCCAAGCTTCCATCAAGCTGCCCCGTTGAAACAGTCTTTGTCAGGTTGTAGGTAAGTGAAGAGGTAGCAAGCATCTGACCAGAGTGACTGTGGCTGCGGACCTTGTTATCACAGATGCTTTTTTTCTTTCTAGGTTGTGACCCAACAGATAAATATGCTAACCCCCCGGAGCCATATAGTCCTGTACCATATGTCTACATTGTTTCCAGGTGAGACCAAAGACGTAGGTCTGCCTGTGTGTGCTGTGCACCAGTGACTGGTGAGAATGCGTGCGCCCCGCAGCCATTTTAACAGTGCATCTGTCAAGCCCGGCGTGTCGTGACTAAGTGGTACATTCGTGACATGTGTATGGAACTTGACATGTCAGCAGCGAGCAGCAAAGGCATAGGCAAAGAATTCCGAGCATGCACAGCGGAAGTAACATTTGGTACATTTACTTACATGTCTAGGTGGGTGCCTGTCTGCTGACACGACTGCACGCGTGCGGGTTCCATTCGCAATGTTGCGGTTGCCCCAAGCTAGTTTTGATGAGCGCAACGCGCTGGGGCACAGAAACACAATTCCGCAGCCGAGCAACCCAGCAGCAAGACGGGAGGACGCTAGCATGAGTCCAGTAGCGCAACTGCAAACAATCCAATAGAATGCACCAGGAATTCACGTCCAAACCATTCCCGGACACGTCGGTGTGAAGGCTGCACCAATGGTGCGTGAAATGAGTTGAGGAGCCCCGGATCGAACTTTTATTGTCGAAATCTTCAACAAGCGTTAAGGGCCACGGCGCGCATGAGAGAAAATGAATCTGACGAGTGCGCATTGTGGAAAACATTATATACACAAACGGTCATAGGGAAGTCCCCCAAAACACACGCAAAATCCAACGCCCAATTCCCACCCCTAACCATATATATATATTATAATATAATATAATATGATATAATATAATATAATATATAATATAATATATAATATAATATAATATATAATATAATATATAATATAATATACAATATAATATACAATATAATATAATATAATATAATACAATACAATATAATATATATACATACATACATATATAGACATATTTATATATATGTGGTGGATATACCCATTGTGATATAGGATACAGCAAAAATACATTACTAGGACCATTTTATAGGACATAAATGGATATGTATATATATAACCAACAATGATATTTGGGTGTGTCTGATAATGTGGTATTCCGTCCAAAATGTGACATTGATTAAAATGACAAATAGGGAAAATGAATGGAAATGATGATCGACCAGTGGATTTAGGGGTGTCCAATTTGAAGGCAAAACCATATTTGACTTCGGAGCCTGATTGTCAATGGATTGGTTTGAGGGAAGATTTACAGGGGAAAAACATGGTTTCTTGTAGGTTTTTTCCTTGAACCAATCCAGCGAGATTTGAAATCCAAGTGACCAACGGCAATAGCTCAAACTGCTCAAACCAATGGCTGGCAGGATCCCAGGAGTGAAGGGCATCCCATGGTGACGATGTTGGAGAACTCGACCCGCGCCAAGTTTGTGTTGGAACACCAGGTTCAAAGCTCCTCGGACCCCTCGGGATTAACCGCCAGTGGCGGCACTCAAAAGATAGCAAAGCAACCGCATGGATCCGCATGGTCGGAACTAGACCAAAAATAGAACGTGGCAGAACCATCAAGATTTCGGGTATAGCTATATAATGTTATATATTGAAACCTGTGGTCGGTGTCCTGAAGACGAATGGTCGGTCGATTGAAACATGTTCACGTTGCTACCCAGAAGTGGGAAACTCAATCACATGAATCCAACTGACTGAGGATAAAAACACCAGCAAAGGATGCCCAGACAAAGATTGATGGTCAAATTCGCATCTTTGTGCACCAAATCATCTAAATCCCCATTGCTCTCAGTTATAAAACCCAGCTCGTGGTGTCAAACAAAAAACACTATGTCGTAAGTCCAATGATAACAGGTACATGTTGTATACTTTATTATTGGGTGTCCCACATTTCTCATTTTATATGAGTAAATATTAGTAAATATCCATTTTTCATCATTTTTCAATTGATAAATCCCCATGTTGGACTGCCTAAACGTGTTAAACCACACCACTTCAGCACTCAGCCGAGGCTTTGAGGCGCAACCCCAACCAGCAGAGGGAGCGGAAATCATCGAGGAGATGCGTTGTATGATCAAGGACATGGTGGGGGTGGGGGTGGGGGTTCATGGCTGGGATTTACGCACCATGTCATGTTAAGGTGGAACATGATGATAAGCCATGAACCATAGGATTTCAGGCTGGGGAACAATCCAAGGAAATTCTGAGGTGGCTTTGAATGGGCTGGCATGGCTGGCATGGCTAGCTAAGCGACTGATGATTTAGAATGAGTGGAATTGCTGGCCACCAAATCTCATCCTGATTTTGGCAAACCCAAACATCATCAGTAGTGGAGTTTGAGGATTTATATACCGTTATTTTATCGGGTTTTATCGGAATAACCAATCAGGTTGTTGAAGTCCTGCGCATGCTGTTTTGGGTCAATATTGGTGAAGCGTAGTAGATACACGTAGCCTCCAAAATGGGTGGTTGGTGTCAAATCAGAATTCCTTTGCTCTATGCAGGGCTTGGGGAGTGTAAATCCATGTATATAAATCCTTGGTCCATACCCGTTGAATGGAAATTTGACATCCTGAGCTGGAATGAAACCAAACTTCAGCTATGTCTTGGCTCTGCAAGTTTGAGACTGGCCCACCAAGCGCCGAATATGAATAAGGAAGCAGGACTCAAATTAAATTCGTGCTTTCTACCATGCACAATATCAGCTTCCAGCCTTCAGCTAATGCAAGAGAAGCACAATCGACAGTCTTGCGGATACCTTGTTGGCAGAACAAATTGAATGGATTCAGATACTGTATTTGTGGGACCTATTGGAAAACCAAGCCCCCTTGCGGATGGGGCCTTTGATGTGGAAAGGGTCACTCTACCCACTTTCTAGGCTCGGTATGAGTCAAAATTGGGTACCAAGAATATCCAAGAATAGGATGGTTAGGACAAGCAATGACCCAAGAGTTGTGCTTCTCATCTTCTCTGGCATAACAATTTTGACTGATCCCCATGTGGGGAGCTAGCATCTCCTTCGTTTCCTCGGCGACGTCCAGGATTATGAGGAAATTGAAACTGAAACTCTTGACGAGTCTTGGAAGGGACAGCTATGGACAGGTAACGCAGATTGGAGTTCGAAGACATCGGGTCTAGGCCTAGTCCATAGGGTTCCCAAGTCCCTCAGACTACAGATGCGTAGTGGGTGTCATTCTTTGGTGCGTGGCAGCGCCATGGCCCACCTCTAAAACCATTACATTTTTGGGTCCAGCCATGCTCTTAATTAATTATCCTTATCTGAAACAGTGGGGGATGATGATCCCAAGTGATTGACTGAATTGACTAGCCAATTCTTTGGCTGTGTTTGATGGTTAGGATGAGCCAAGGTAGCAGTTCCAGTTGGATTCCTTCAGCCCTTGGCCACCATTTGTAAGTTCGTTTTCACAGAGTCCAAGAGTGGGAAGGGTGAATTTGCAGATAAGATCAGTAAGGATGGAGAGTACTGTACCGACTTTGGGTTTTGAACGGCCCTAGGCTCTACACCAAAAGATAGGATCCTCAATATGAGAATCTTGCCGTTTCAGTTGCGTAAGCCCGAAAAATTCTCTGAACCCTGGAAACACCCATAAGATGAAATGGAGGCAGACTGCAGCTTGATGGTTAGATGAAATTCCGAAGAATGGATGGGAGGATACCTGACCATTGCTTGGAGGGTTGGCTCAGAATGGAATTCCTCCAAAATCGCGGGCCCAAACGATTCCAAGGATTGCGAGGAAGAGGAGGAGTATGAGGAGGAGTAGGCTGGTTTGTTTCCGCTCCCAATGATTTTGAGAGGTGCGCAGTTAAGCTCAAAAATGCCAAGGGCATGAGGGCATCGGAGTCGTGAGACGTGACATATTCTGACAGCTTTTGGATCTTTTATGAAACCGATGGAAACAGTATGTTTATATCTTTGCACCTCACATGAAGGGGTGCCTGAAGGGCCCCAATGAGAATGAAAAATTAAAGGTTCTTGGGTTCTGATGGTCAAATTCCGGAGCTCAACATGTTCAACAACAAGATGCCACCCTTGAATGAACTGCAAGTCATTCCTCTTCTATTTTTACATATGTCTACACACTTTGTAACAACTCAGTGTTTGACAAACAGCCTCACAATTGGACATGAGCTCAAGACTGCTCGTTCTTGGTGCCTTGGCTGCCATTGTTGTGGCCGTGAGGTGAAGGGTCTCTCAGATTTGGATGTTTCATCCACCGTGTTGACGGACTCAGCATTTTGGTGCCTTCATCCCAAAAAAACAAGGGCCCAACAGAGGATTTTTTCTGTGTCCATTCTGGATGTTCAGCTTAAGGTTTCTCGCGCCCCTTGGCTTCTTCAAAGAAGGGCCCAAGGAGGCTGGAGGACACCCATCCAGTTGCCAGCTTATTCCATCTGAGCTGGTCCGACTGAAAGGATTTTACTTATATAGGAGTGCGGTTTCTATTGTACTGCCTGGCGGGTTGTGGGGAATGATGCAGTAAAATTTTATTCGATGTTTTTGCCCTTCAAATATATATATACATATATATATATTGTTATATATATACATTGTTTTATATATATATTGTTATATATATATTGTTATATATATATATATTGATATATATATATATTGTTATATATATATTGTTATATATATATATATACGTACCATACAATATGCATCGTTGCTTTAGGAAAAGTTTAGCAATACATAACATAAATTTGTTCAACGGCTTTGGGTATTCGACGGTATTTGAACTTTAGGGACCCCAATCATCTACCACGAGGATTGAACTGGAAACTGATCTTCAGTGGTGATTGAACGACCAATGTCGCAGCTCAAGGTTGACCTATCTAGCAACTATATATATCATATGATCAAGGCGTATCAAATCATGGTATCTGATATAATTTGTATGTGTATGCATATATAGCTATATATATATATATATCTGCATATGTATTGACTATTATTGACTACCAAACATTGGGAGATAAGGGAGGGCGAAACAGAATATACATGACATCATTTAAAATCTACCTTTATCATCTTCAATCTGGGCGGTGTTTTTGCGACCAACTCAACCGGGATCAGCTTTACAGCAGCCACCATCGGTTGAACCGTTTGATGGTTGCGAAACCGGATAGGCGCCATGCGCGGCCGTGTCCCGAAGTGCACATCACGAAAAAGGTTCGAAGACTTGCCATGAAGAGTAGCAAATAAATCAACAAAATTAAATGGTGATTTCACCAAGAGAACTGGGAAGCTTTGGATACTTGATTGTAAGCTCCTGTGCAACCTAGTCCGATAAATGAATAGAAATGATGGTTGAGTTTGCCAGGTTTGGGATTTACAGTAGACGATCCAGATCACCTGGGCAGGAAATGGTTGCAAATTGTCCATAACATCCCCATGACGGGAATAGAACATACATGTTTGGGGGGTACCGCCAGTTCATGATACTTGTCAATGGTCAATGGCATTGGAATTGCAAACCAGAAGCCATCGTGGATGCCACTTTCGGACAAAGTTGGCATTTGTGCCAGCAACCATTGCCTCCATGTGTCCGCTGCAACAAAAGGAGCATTGTACTGTTCATTGACAGTGCTGCCTGCGCCAGTGGGAGATGGTCGTTGGACGTGGCGATCCATTGGAATACCTTTGTGGTTCAACATGTGGAAACTCTCAGAGAAACCCAACAAATTAGACAAAGTTGATGTTTGATGATTCTCTTCTGTGAAATGGCCATGTTCATGGGATCCACGGGCTGTCGGGGAAAAATCGGGGACAGCTCTTTGGGCATCGAATGGGTGATGTCCTGAGGATTTGGATTTGGGCGCCTGGCGCCTTATGACCTTACCCTGGGCTATGGCACGGTTGGTGGAGATGGGTTGGAGCACTCAGGAGGTGGAAGATTTTGGTGGGTTGGTATCAGCGGCATATCACTTGCTTGTAGAATATCTCGTTGGTTTCGTTGGTTGGATGTTGGCTGGCTTTTCAGTCACTTATTAAAGACCTGCTTACTGTAGTCATTTTGTTAATTGAGTAAGATTGGTTGAGTTGCTAAGTTTGACTGTTTAGCGAGCGGTTGGCTTGTTGTTTTGTTTGATTCGCAGTTCATCCAAATCCCACATGCTCGCGGTTGACTTAGGATTTTTTAGAAATTAGATAAAATTTGTTGGCTTATCTTATCTTGGTGGTTCTTCCAACCTGAAACCCCTATCAGTATCAGATTATCAGTTTCTTTTCCCTTACACCATCGTAGTCCCAGCCCAAAGCCATCAGTTTCATCTAACCGTCGGCTCCCTTGCGCCGAGGAAGCAGCTTGGCGCGGATGGGTGGCCCCATCGAGTGTTCTGAGCTGCCCAGCTTGCGGCAAGCCGTTGGGGGCACCTAATGTCGAAGCTGGATCTCATGGGGATCATGGGATATGAATTGAAATGTTTTCATAGGGGATACATGGGGGTACAACATATAATATACATATATATACATATATATATATATTTATATATATATAGTGTATATATATAGTGCGTATATATATATATATAGTGTATATATAATCACCACCCCTTTAAGGCTACTTTTCATGGGGGGACCATACCAAAATGTAAGATACATTTTTTGGGACCCCCCTTAAATGTAAAACTGGTCGCTGAACGTCCCCCAGGTATCGTTTTCGTGGGGAGGGTCTTCAAAATACCTTCAAAATGTAAGTTTACATGTTCCACGCCCCCTTCAAAAACACCTTGAAAAATGTAGCTTGCATTTTGGATACGTCCCCCCTTTAAACCGGTGGTGATTATATATATATATACATAGTGGGATATCAATAATTCTGGATAAATTGGAGAAATAAACGAAACAATACCTAAGTGGTTGTCAGTTAAATTGGTGATTAACCATCAACATGGGATTTAACGGTGATATAAATGGATATTATGGGACGGTACTGTATCCGGATGAATTGTATACAATGATATAAAGCGACATTCTCCTCGAATTCACTGGAAGAGTAGGGAACCCTGGGTAACTGTACCAAAATAGTGTTGTTTCAAGTTCCAAGTTTCAGTGAGTTATTTTTAATCATTACTGTATATGTTATTATTATCATTATTATTGACTATTATTTGTGTTACTGTTAGGGTTATGATGTTCTTATCTATCCAGAATGGAAGGGTTCGGTGCTGCAACTGGGTGGGTCTGGGAGTAGCCAACCAAGAATGAAGTGAAATTGAGGGTTCCCATCAACAACCGAAAAATTGACCAAGATGACCAGCAACAATGAGGGTACAGTACAACCAATCAAAACCGTTTCGTTCTACTCAACAAAAACGGTGACCCGGTGGGCAAACCAAGAAGCTTCCGATTTGGTCCCAAAAATATCATGTAATAGTGGGGGCAGCGGGCCTCGAAACTCGCTGTTCAATAGGATGCAATCTTAGGAGAAATAATAACCAAGTGATACAGGCAAGTTTGCCTCTATGCAAGTGCAAACCAATATGGAACCAAACCAATCTCACATCCTGCTTCAGTCTGTTTGATATACTTTGTAAGGCCTTGGGAGAATTGGTTTCAAGTAACTTCACAGGGCAACTGATTTTGGGGGAACTTTTGGGGGAATGGTTTTAAGGAACTTCACTGATACATCCCTGAATCATTGCCGATAGTTCGCGCGGGTTCAGTATTGTACTAGATGTGTATCGATCTACACCCTGGCAATCTTCTGTTCACCCCAGAATCTCCCAGTTTTTTTGGGGGGATGTTCATCCCCACCGTTCATTTGGTGTTTCATAGGTTTTGATCCATCCCGAGATGTCAAAGGTGGTGCTGCGAAACGCTCTTCCGCTGCCTTTGGTTTTCAGCCCTTTGGGCCTGGCAGAGGCCAGAAGAACTCAGCGGTTTTGCGGTTTCGAAACCAAGGGATTTGTAGTGATTTTAGTAGGATTTAGCCATCAACAATGGAGATTATGAAGGGGATATATGGTATGGATTACTCATTGTAAGATGGGGATGGATCAAGACCTATGAAACATCCATTTTTGGAAAGATATTTAGGGGTGAACAAAGGTACTGTACCAGCAGATTCCAGCCTGTGTCTTTGGCATGTTGGCGAAGAAAACTGAAAACCACATTGGCGGCGTGGAATGTAAATGAAAGTCACCCAAGGAGTTCTAACCAGCTCAGTATTATACTCGAGAATGTATGTGTGTGAAAAGGATTGGCCGCCTCTCTCAAAGTGTAGCATCTACATCTATAGTCATATACACATATACATACATGTATTCATATACACACATACAAATATGATGTTACTTACATATACTTGCTCCTTACTCTGGTGAGCGTATGCCAGCGTAAGCGCTGCGCGTAAGCAAAACTTGTGCGCGCGTAAGCAAAACGTAAGCAATGGCGTAAGCATTTCCTTAGTTGGTGCTCACACGAATGTTCACACACACATATATATGTATATATGTATATATATATACATATATATATATACATATACATTTATATATACATATACATATATATACATTTAGATATTTATATTTACACACATATTTATAGTTACATATATATATATATATTTACATATATATATATACAAATATACATATATATACATATATATATACATATATTTATACATATATATATATGTGTGTCCATATATATATACATATATTTAAATATGTACATATATATATGTATATTTTGCATATATATATATATATATATTTATATACATATATATTTGCATATATATATATATATATACATTTATATTTACACATATATATATATATTTACACATATATATATATATATGTATATATGTATATATATATATATACATATATATACATATATATGTGTATATATATAGAGAGACATATATATATATATTGATATAGATTTGTACGTCAGCCTGACATGCACGACAAGATCCTGCAGATACCAGATCAGGCTTGGGAACTAGACGTGGCGCAACAGACTGCGGACATTACTGCACATCTACATCGTCTTCTTCGTGAAGGCACTGACCGGACCCACAGAAAATGCAAAAAGATCTACAGGGATGATGAAGCATGGACACTGAAGAATCATAAGCTTGCCACCAGGAAGCGCATCAAGGCCACCAATGGGCACCTCAAGAGACAGCTCCTTCAATGCTGTTTCTCTGCCTGGCGCACCCTTCGGCAGCCCTCCACAGGCCCTGAAGAAGGCGACTCTGAGTTCTGCTATGGTGTCACATTACGATGTAGACTTGTCAATCTGGTGGCGCAATTTCGCGCTCAATGCTCCCATCTCAAGAAAGTATTGATACAATGCAAAAGCAAGCTGCTTCTGCAAACCTGGGAACAGCTACCGGCTGAAACCCCAGCCGCACACCTTCTGAAACAGCTTAGGCCTTTTTTTGGTCCGACCAATCCGAAGAAGGCCAGGCAGAAA